ACAGACGCTCCTCCGGAGCCCGCTGGAATAGAAAATCCATTTGCAATGCCTGCAGGATGGGAGCCTCCTGCTCCGCAACAGTCTTCGCAGAGTGCAGGTGGTCAAGTCAGCCAAGAGGCTGGTCCAAGTCCCCAGGAGGGCGGGCAGTTCGAGCAAATGCTTCAGGGAATGGGATGGGATGGTTGGCGATGATAACTTGGTAAGAACACTGTGCCCTCTGGTTGGCAGGACTGTTCCAGGCAAGACATGCCATGGAAAATAAGGTCCTCTTTCCGATGCTGAAGTGGCATGCTCGCCATTACCAGCAGGAGTAAACCCGAAGAGGGGATAACGGAATGTGTTACATTGCACAACTGCAACCACATGTGTGCCTCTCATGGCGACACCTCAGCTGTCCAGAGTTACAACGCCTCAAGAGCAAGTGGCTTTCCGAAGTCAAAATTCACTGTTGTGCCGTATATCAATTGCAAAGGCACATATGACTCCATGATATTTATCACTTCTCTTCTCCCCTCTTTTTGTTGGATATCTTTTTATTACCTCTTCTATGTAATGATTTATGATCTGGTTGGCCTTGTTTATGAATATGTTTTTTTTGGCTCCCATGCATAGTGGTTTTGTTGGTATTTTCTGACCATGGATGGAGATCTGGAGTGTTGCAAAGGCTCTGGAGTATGCGATTGGTGCATTTCGTTTGAGTGGCAGGGCAGGGAACGTCGTTGTTAATACAAATATACCAGTGGATATCTATGGATATGAAGATCCAGGGATTGGGTTTGGGTTGATATCAAAAACTTTCATGACGGTTTAATGCATTTAATATATTTGTGTACATCATTACACAGGGCATATATGGGTCCCTAAATTCTCTTTAAAGGTGGGAAAGAAAAGTATAATTGATCCTGCACAGGTACAGTGTACATACATAATGCAATTGATCTTAATGCCAGTGCCTCATTTTCTGCTTCATGCATTTGGCAAGAGTCGTGATGACTGTGTCTCAGATACTATGCACACACAAACTTTTTTTTTTCATTTTGAAATAAGAGAATGAGAATTTCTCTTATGTATGTACCTGGATCAGGTATTGCTAAAGCTACTATATCTAGCCGTTTTGGCGCCTAGCTCTATTGCTTCTACTGGCAGTAATGGCTTACCAATAACAATTTGATAAGTAATTAAAACTGTTCAGTAATTTATTTATTTATTATTCTTTTTTTAATAATGTCTTGGCTTTATCCATGATCCCCGGCGTAATGCATATTACCATAACTGGTTGCTGTAGTGAATTTGAACAAAATTCACACCACGCATGATGTGTAATCGTGTTAATACAATTTGTAGAGATGATATCTGATTAATTATTGTTAACCACAGAAGATCTAAGGGGGAAAAAAAGCCTGCAACTCACAGAGATTTCCTTGAAACAACGTTTCTGCATTGCCTGGCAGAGGTCACACCTACCTCAGCAGTCGTTGATAGGACGGAAATAACGACCTAGAGTTGCTGCCTCAGGCAGACAAAGAAATGCTCCCGCACTTCCATCATGATGCAAATCTCCGCCGCCTTGAGAGTCTCGCGCCTATCCCCGACATCAATTGCGCTCCTCCACATGATTTTGACAGCCCTGAGATAGCGGGCCAGCGTGGAGTCCGAGAATCCTCGCTCGACTGCGCCGAAGACGGCCCAACACCGGGGAATGAAGGCGGGATTTTCGCATCGCTGCCGCAATCGCTACAGCAGCAGCAGCAGCAATCAGAAGCAGGAGCAGGAGTAGGAGCTTCTATTGGTGACAATTCCTCGACAATGGCGTCTGCACCCTCCCAGCGTCGACTTCTCCACAAGGATCGGTTTGCATATGTGTTTGGCTCGCTGAAGACGCAAAGCTATCACGATCCCGCGGCGCGGGGACCGGGATCCCATACGTATGTAGCCTTGCGGTCGAAAGGAATTGTTACTCTTTGTTGAGGTCCAGTTAAAAAAAAAGAATCTTCGCTAACTTTTGTTTCTTTCCTTAGTATCCGTACTCTTGCTTGGAATCCTACAGGCCAACTCATCGCAACCGGTTCTGCAGACCGCACGCTCCGCATATGGAACCCAGAGCGCGCAAATGCGAGATACTCCACCGAGCTTCGTGGTCATTCAGCAGGCATTGAGAAAGTCGTCTTTAACCCTATTCGCGATTCGGAGCTCGCGAGCTGCTCCAGCGACGGTACGGTCCGTTTCTGGGATGTCCGGTCGAAGACGTGTGTTAGTCGACTCGATGTTGGAGGAGAGGCCTTCACGCTGGCTTGGTCTCCAGATGGGAAGGTTGTCCTCGTGGGCAGGAAGGTGAGATGGTCTCTACACTCAGACGGGAATTGTCACAAAACTGACATGACCATATCGTTCATTTAGGATGACAACTTGATCCCAATTTCCATCGAAAGTCCATCTACACCGACCGTCATGTCGAACGGGAATACTACCGCGACGGCCACAACTGAAAACTCTAACAATGCCACCTATACGATGCTCGAGGCACATCCACAACCCGTCCAGACGAACGCTACCACCTTTTCGTATCATGTTCCCACTCCGTCCGCCCCAGACCTGGACCTGCTCGTCACCACCGGCGAGGGCACCGTCAAGATTTTCTCCTATCCGTCCTTTACGTTGCGGCATACCCTGCACGCACACACCTCAGCATGTCTTTCTTTAGAGCTCTCACCTAACGGCCGTTACCTGGCTGTTGGTGGCAGTGACGCCTTAATTTCCCTCTGGGACACAACTGACTGGGTCTGCCGTCGGACGGTGTCCAGCAGTAACGGCGGCGCCGTGCGTGGTGTCAGCTGGAGTTTTGACGGACGATTCCTCTGTGGAGCCTGCGATGAGCCTGGCTGTGGCGGCAACGGTCTGGAGATTTTCCACGCGGAGACAGGCGACAGCGTCTATACCGTTCCCACGGGCGCTGGAGCCAATGCAGGCATCCCTGCGGTAGCGTGGCACCCATCGCGGTACTGGCTGGCTTATTCGACGACAGCCGATGGACCAGGAAGCACCCCCGGCGGGCTGAAGATTGTAGGCGCTGCGGGAGGGGGTTTGTAACAGGGAATAAAGAAAACGAAAAGCAAGAGGAAGAGTGAGAACCTCGACCTGATGACAGACTATCAAAATCAAGTCAAGGTAGCAGCCTTGTCTGAATTGCGATTTTCTGGTATGACCTAGGTACTAAATAGCTAAAGCCATAATAGAAGCAGATCCGTTGCAGAAAAAAAAAGAATGCTACCTTCTACTTTTGCGCACTTTTGTGCTATCGATATTCTGTAGTTGTGGCCGTGGCATCGAGTAATGGCTGCTTGTTCCAATAGCAGACTCACGATCTGTGTTGTGTTTCTGTGGAGTAGTACGTCATCAAATACTCTCAGGCTTCATCTGAGCATGTGCTAAGTTATCAGAAGGCAGACATTGCTTCTGAAGTGAATCACATATACCCAAAAAGGAAATGACAACAGCATGACAGGCAAAAAAAGCCTCTGAGACGGGGTGCCCTCCCACCCGGAGCACCCCCGAGTATTTTTGTTAGGTTAATGGGTCCTTTTTCTTTAGAACCAGCGGGATTCGAACACGGGGTTGTCTGGTTGACAGACTGGATTGGATTGTTATTTTCACCTATTTTAGGCAGTTTGGGGTGCAGACCTAACCGCTGCACCATCCCAGCCCGTGTTCGTTGACAGAAGGGTGTTTTTGCAAATGATATGCCCTCTGGCCAGTCGGGGTTAGCTGGGGCGGCATAAGTAGCGCCTTGTCTGGGTAGGCAGGGTGAATATCTCGCATTTTTGGCTGTTCATGCTGTCAGCCTGTCAGCCAGCCCTGATTCGGATGATACTGAGGTCATTCATTCCCCAGGCTACAACTACAGCATATGCATTTCCTTCTAAATCCCAAGGAAACGAAAAGATGGTGCCGCAGAACGATTGGAGACTGAACCATAGATACATCACGTTGCCTACCCACTGATAACCGTGATTTCTCGTATTCTGGTATCCAAGGATACCCTCTTCCTGTGCTAGGAGTGTTTTGGGTAAAGTCGTTTTCCAGTCAACAACATGACAGAAAAAAAAACGATGCAAAAAGAGAAAAAAGTTAATTGCCTTGAAAAGGTATGGATATATCCAGAGGCATGCTTAGATTTAGATCGTGCGAGTTAGGGCAAGGTGCTTATTGGATTTTGGAATTTAGAAGATTGCCTGACTTTTTTTTTTCTTTTTTTTTCTTTTATGATATCTTCCTGGAGACTTCCTGTAAGAGGAAAGTATGTAGAAATTTTTTTAGGCCGTATATAGGTTTCATATCCGTTCTCTTGTCCTTAATATTCTTCTGTCTAGCTCATAAAGTCCTGTTGTGGTAAAGTACTCGACAGGCATACAGATATTGGTGTTACGACAGAATTTTTTAATAATCTAATCCAGCACCTAACGTATATTATAAAGTAGGGATCAATTCCTGTCGAGGCGGAGCTTCTTGTCTGCGTGCAGCTTGTTGGCATGTTGTCGTTTTCCCCACTTGTTGATCTGCTATTATCGTCTCAGACTATTTTGGTCGATCCCAGGGCCATCCACTGCGCTGGGAATCTCGACTGGGCGGCGCGGCTTTCTCCACAACCCGAGCTTCGGGATGAGTTTATTCCCACCGCGGGCTTCGCAGCTTATCAGAATCAGATTTTGTCGGGAGCAAGAAGTGAACAGGAAACACCCTTCCCTCTTCAAAAATCCAAGAATACAGGTAGAAACGCGACCATGCTTGACTTCTCCGACGAGGCGTCGCATCACGAAAAATGCTACACGACCATCGGGAAGCTGCCGGCCTTTGTCGATCCCAAGCAGCCGCCCCAGAAGAAGTCGCCCTTTTCGGCCATTCTAAACCATCCCTTTGTGCATACTGTATGCTATTCCTCCCAGTCCTAGGACCATATCCCTTCCAATGCACGGCGCACTGGGCCAATAGAATGTTCTGCTTTCTAACTTCAACTCTCACGGAAGACTGAATTGATCCTGCCGGAGGAAATCTATCGCGCCGCGTGGGAATCGATCCGCTCGAGGATCAAGAAACTGCAGTATGCCCGAGTTTTTATGCCGCTCTCTTCGTTGCTGGAGGGGGAGTTTTTCAACACGTATATCAAGACGGGTATTTTAACGCCCTCCTTTATTATTATTCTTAATTTTTGTTATTTTCCTCTCTCTCTCTTTTTTTCTCCCTTTTTTTTTCCCCATCGTCCTCATGTTGCTCTTTGGATCGCATGTTAATCTTCTCAACAGGAGACGTGCTTATGATCTCCGAGGGCCGGGCCGGAGTAGACGATGTCTTTTCTCTCCGAAACGGTATGTGCTCCATTCAAGACGCTTTGCTTTGCTCGTTCTTCTAAGATCGCGCCTTCCTCCTCTGGTGCAGGGGTCCTGAGACTGGAACTGGGCAAGGAAAAGTACGAACGCACCGGCCTCACCGGCAAGCCTATCCGCAGCGGCGGACGAAAACATGCCAAGGAGAGATTCGGTTCGTACTCTTCCAGCTTGAATGCCGTCGTTTGTCTTTTTTAATTAACACAACTCGATTATCAGTTGTGGAGATCAATCTGCGATTGCCTTCGATGCTCCATGGCAAGAAGGGCTTCGAGCGCATCGTGTGGGCGTTCAAAAACGTCCTCAACCACTCTGTTTCGTGGCTGTTCTACGATCTGGCATCAGACTCCGCCTCCCTGGACCAAGGTACGACTCCTGGTCCGTTTTCTTCATGTGCACACCATTTCGACCGTCACTAAATCGGACTGTAGCGAACAGCCCCCTCAAACAGCATCATCCTCAGATTGTCGAATGCACTGCCGTCGAAGCTGTCCACCAGCCTATCCTCGTTCCACCGCTCTCCGCAGATCAGATTACAGCTCTTGAGACAGAGGAAGACATCCGGGACTATTGCAATGACATTTCGGAATGGCTCGCCCTTGTCTCCCTCGATTCCCCTCGAGTCTCCGCGAATGATAATATCGACCCCTATCTGAGCCGTTACGCCGTACCACAGCAGGACCTCGCCAAGTCTTCCGCTACCGTCAGTCTCAAATGGCACGGTCTCATACCGTCCCAGTGGATCATACACCTATTCATCAGCATCCTGTGAGTATTTATCGTTCTTCCTCGGCCACCCTCCGGACAATAGCCCCTTATCATATATATATGTGCGGGGATCCGCTAGGCTGACGCTGATTGTTGCCCACGGTTCAGACGAGAACGCATTCTCCGCGAACCCCATCCGAATGCCTGGTTTGCCTTATCCTGCTCTGCCCTGGGGAGAGACGCAGTAGAAAGCAAGGATGGATATACAATTCTGTATCTACCGGCGTCTGGATCTTCTGCTCAGGAGAACTCGGGGCAGGCTCCTGTCGCATCTGAAGAGCCCGCAAGCGTTGGCGAAGGTAGCAGTCGCCGACATTTCATCTGCTGGGAGTATGTAGGCGCATCGCTGTGCATATAGAGTGCCAAGACATCTCTCTCCTCGACCATAGGTGCTCTGCACACCACTGTCTCGCCGTTCTATGGATGACGGATGACTCTTCAACTTCCCTGCCTTCCCTAGGCAGCTTTGAGGTATTTGAAGTCCCCCAGATTCCGCGCCCTCCTTTCTTTATCCATCCTTCTTACATTCCACTGATCATCTCAGTTTACTGAGATTCAAACTTCGTGATTATACTCTCAAAGCCATCGTTTTACAAATGTTCGCTCAAAAGCATCCATTCGAGACATCTTAACGAACATTACAATCAACATGGATTACGACGTCATTGATCCTGCTCCCTTCACCTCCGACCTGTTCTTCTACCTTGACCTGGGCTCGCCCGAAATCCAGGTTCCGGATTGTATGAGTCTCGAGACCCCGAGCGATCTGCTCGAGGTTACACCTACATCTTCTGGCGGGACTACTTCATCCACCAGCAACAATACCGAAGATGCTTCGTCCAGCCGAAGCATCAGTCGGGACGTGACCGAAGAAACCAGCGGGACTGCGCCTATCAATCTGCAGCTCCCGGCCGGGTCTGAGAGCACCTCCGACTCGAATTCCGCTTCCAACGGTGAGGGTGAGGGCGTTGACTCCCCTCACTTGTCGGAAGAAAACAACGAACCTCACGAACAAGGTAAGTCTTGTAGCTCTTATTGCCTTTCTCAGCTCACGTGGTGTTCCAATACTGTTTCTTCTCATGTGTCATTCACTTACCTGCCTCTGATCTCGTTTTGTCGCTATGGTTTCATGGCTTTTCTGGTAAACGTTGTATTTCTTGATAGTTCTCACACTCGATTTACTTAATCACACACTCTGTGTTTGTCACAAGTATTAACAAACCCTCTTTTACATCCTTCGTCTTTTATCTTGCTTTGAAGATGGATGTATTTATATTCCTTATTGCAAATGAGTCCTTTCATGCTGTTCAATCTTGCTATCAAACGAGATACTGATTTTGCTTCTCTTAGATCTGGATTGGGACGGATTCCTGGTGTATTCGCCTTGCGAGGTGGATGTTTCCCTTCCAGACCCCGAAGCCCCCGTGGAGGCCAACGTCGACCGGACACCCCCGACGAACGACGACACCGTCGAAGAACCTCCTCGCAAGCGCATCCGGGCGAGGAGGCGGCAAATCGTCCCTGCAGAGATCTCCTATTCGCAACTTGCAGGGGCAGCACCAACGCAAATGCCCCCTCGAACGTCCGCACCCACTCCAACTCCGACTCCAACTCGAACTCGACAAGGCCCCTCTTTCGCAGATCCCCAAACCGCGGTCATCCCTCTGCCGCCAACCACTGCGGCTTCTGAAAACCCTTGCGGGCAGACGTATCAGCCTCTGTTCCCGCAATTTCATGGCCAGACTATGTCTGTGCCTCTTGTGCCCACGGGCACAAACGTCCTCTACGAGAGCGTCTCCCTCACTGCTCTGGCCTCAGTGACATCGAGGGCTCACTTTATCCCCTCCAGACCGACAGTGGAGGAGACATTTTCATGGCAGGGCCAAATACAAGCGGCTCCTGCTTACCCGCCTCCGGCCGCAACTCCTAGTGCCCGCCCCTTCGCGCCACAGCCCTCACGACCAGCACGAAAATTCACCTTCGCCGAGAACACCGTGCCCAGCAATTTTGTCCCCAACCCGAACAACCATGGAAGATGGTTAGTCGACGAACTTGGACGGCGGCACTACCTGAACGCGCCCAAGAACAAGCGGCCCCGTATGGAGGTCACTTGAAAAGGGCCGGACGACTTTTGCGATCTTCCGGAGGAATCAACCGTCGAAGACGGACCATGCCCAACGCCACGGGCTTTGGAGGAATTCACTCGTCGTCTCCTTATTCCAACTCGTCTCTGGAATAGGGAGACCTGACACTTAAAGGAAACGGACGGGGACCTGATGTGTAGGTTTTTACCATCGATGGGAGCTGCCAGCACCACACCTGTGACATCCGTGTCTAACCATCCATCGGTGGAAGTTTCCCTAACATCTCGCAAGAACCGAGCCGAATGGCAGGTCTGAAGTACTCTCCCTCGTCAATTGGGGATGAGGAAAACCGCTCCGTTTTCTTATACTTACGCTGGACTCCAAGCTGAATGGTTATGACGAAATAACCGACGTCAAACCATGGGTCTGTACATACTATACTATATACATCATAAATAGCATTTGCATCAAATCGAGTACGTCCGAAAGGAAGCAAATGGCAGTAAAAGAGATTTCTCCAACACTCCATTCAATTGCATTTTTTTCCCTAAACCGTCACTAGTAGATTAGATTATCGGATAGTGTCACCTTCCCACTGCGTCGTACGGATTGTGTCTTGTAATGCACTTAATTAGACGAAACCGATCATTCATTCAATCCTTATCGCGCAACGCAATCCGAATCCGAATTTATCTAGCAGACGCAATCCAAGACTTCTATATAAAACCAGAAACGCAGACGGAACGTTGATATGCAAAACCGAGTAAAAATAAACAAATCTCTACTATCCCAGACCAGACCAGATCAGACCAGACTCGATCCCATATCCAGTTCTGTTTCCTTCGATCTTCGAACCAAACCAATGCAATGCAAAAACAACAGTTAAAAACACGAGACATGCGCTTGTAGATGGTAGGTGTCAATATCGCAACACAATACATCACAAATGTGGGAGTCACAAATGCACAACACCGAGTGGCTCGTATACAAAAATGGATGGCTAGTTGGCTATTAGCCAATAAGATCGTTGACCACGTCCTGCAGGACAGGTCTCTTGCTGAGGATCTTGTCACCGGGCAGCAACTTGGCGCCTCTCTTTTCGGGCTTTCTTTTCATGATTGGTTTATTGTTGCCCTGTATGGGGCTGAGAGGACTGCGTGGTTGTGTTTCTTTTCTGTTGTTCTTTGCCTTCTTAGAAGAACTAGGAGGAGATTGAGAAGAAGGAGATACGCTCTCAGCAGTCTTATTGTTAATGATCTGCTGTGAAGAGGAATCGCTGTCCTCGAAGATGTGATCCTCAAGTGCATTCTTGGGGAGGTTGTAGACCCAATCGTGCGTCTCCATCAGCTCGACGTATTTGTGGAGCAGTTCGTTACCGTCGCGGAGGGTCGTTCTGCTGCCGATGACAAGCAATTTCGTCCGAGCTCGGGTGAAGGCGACGTTAACGCGACGCCAGTCGCGAAGCAGCTCACCCACGTTTTTGTCGGCGTTGCTGCGCACACAGCTCAGGATGACGACTTCCTTGTCCCGGCCTTGGAACTTGTCCGCCGTGTGCATCTCGAGAAAAGGCAAATACCGGCGGAGCGTTTGTTTCAGCAACGACAGCTGGCTGCGATAGAAGGTGATGACTCCGATTTCGCGTGGTGAGATGCCGCATGAGACAAGTGCGTCCACAAGCTGGGTACAGAGAGTCGCCTCAGTGTTGTTCACAATACGAGAACCGTTCACAATCTCGGGACCCTGCCCGGAGAGGGTGTCAGTATTGACGAGTCGTGTCTTTGCGGATGGTTCGATCAGGTCTCTGAGCCAGCATCGGCGGTGTTTAGAGCCTAGGCACATGGGTCGTTGAGATGAGAATTGGATCAGAGAGGTTGCATGATGATGTCTGAGGCCTCCATTCATGTTTGGAATCTCAAGGGAGCGCGAGGCGACTTCAGGAGTTCCACATTTGAGACGTCCCGAGTAGATCAGTGTGTTCGACAGCAACATGATCTCCTCACACATGCGGTACTGATGCTCCAAGCTGACTACTGATGAGGGATGGGCATCAGACAGATATTTGAAAAGGCTAACATCGAGGCCGCCTTCTTGGGCTTCCTTGTTCTGCACCAGCGGTGGCAGCTGATAGTGGTCGCCAACAAGGATGAATGTCTTGGCCATGCGAATAGGGCCCAAACAGACAGGCAGAGTGATCTGGGAAGCCTCATCGACTATGCAGTAGTCAAAAATGCGCTCGTTGAAGATGGGATGGTTGACTCCTAGACACGTTGTCGCAACAACCCTTGACTGCTCGTACGATTCTTGAAGTTCCTCAATCGTCTTCTTCGGAATTGCGGCTAGATCGGCAAATTGCTGAACCTCTGGATGCACCTTAGCGGGGGCCCCAATACGCAGAATGCGGATGTTGTCGTCTCGAATCTTGAGAAGGATGTTGTCAACTGCGGTATGGGTGTAGGAGGTCAGGAGAACACTCTTTCCCTGGGATACTAGAGCACGGATGATGTGAGCGATTGTAGTGGTTTTTCCTGTGCCAGGCATCCCAAGAACCAGGGCATAGTCTCTAGCACTCATCACTTTCTCGATTGCCTGTTTTTGATCGACGTTGAGGCTCGCTTGCGTCGAGCTGGACATCGTATATGACGAGGAAACTGGCTTGAATGAAGGCTCTTGCCCCTCGATAATGAGTTTTCTCAGCTGTTGAGCCTGGAAAAGGTTCTTCTCCATCACGCAGATCAGGTTGTTGCGAACAGTAGCCATTCCATTGCTGAATTCGTCCTTGTCGAGTCGATAGAGTGTTGGGTCGTCATCCCCTTCCATTTTAATTTTGTCGGAGTTGCCCTCTTCGCAGATTTCCATGATACCTTTGAATGTTTGATTCCTTTCGGGATCAAAGTCGGCACCTTTGATTCGAGCATTATGCAACCTCCGATCAACAGCGACGGTTATCCGTTTTGGGCTTACGTGCAAAACATAACCGTTGGCTAAAGCGAAATGTCCCTTTTCATCTGAGATCACAATCGGCTCACCAGTTGTGATCTGAGATTCCGTAAAGGAAAAATCGGGAGCTGCTTTTTGTTTGACGAATGTGTACCGATAGCGGTTGATCTTCGGACCGTCCTTGTCTTCATAAGCAGACCCCGGCTCGATCATGACCTGGCTAAAACAACGGCCAAGGGACTCGCGTTCGCTGCTCAACATAGTCCAAAGCTCACGTCGAAACTTCATCATGTCTTTCTCTTCTTTGGTTAAGAGATCGTCCCATTTTCTGAAAAAGTCACGGTGCTTGACATTCAGATGGCCCACAGCTTCGTGGAACTTGTCGCCCATGCCGCTACTTTCACCATCACCATCATCCATCAACTTGTGGTACACGAAACAAGCTGTTTTCGAGTAGCACTGGTTGCACATATGCGGCCGTTTCAGCATGGGAGGAAGCTCCACTTTCTCACGAACATAGCAGGCAAGACGGTTTCGCTCTTGAATCATTTGGAGAATCTCATGCCGAATGCCTCGGACGCGGAAAGTCTTTCTCATCTCAAGATAGTAGAGGAGTCCGAAAGTGACCTCGATATCTACAATTTGACTATGAGACTCTGAGCAATGAAGCGTACAATAGATGAACTTACCGTAGCGATCAGAAAGCAATAAGGTATAAAGCGCCGTTTGCGCCCTGTGGCTGTGGCTCGTATCCTTTTTGCCCGTTTTGACCTCTAATGGAACTGTGAGAGTTCTCTCATCTTTCCCGTCATCGTAGACTACTTGGACAGTCGCATCAACGTTCCCCTTTAGCCCGTACATGGGCGACCAAATGTGCTCCTCGACTTCCAGTAGTTTGTTGATGCTCAAACTCGCCTTCGAGCCGTGGCGATCCTCGACAAGAGACTCGGCCTGCATCTCAGTCAGTAGGAACCTCTTGGAAGAGTAAGAATTGGAAAGACTGCTTACGCTTGGCTTCGGCCTTAAGAACATTTCAGCCCAAGCTTTCAGCTCAGGAATCTTGCTCATCACATATTCCACGGCCTCGATCATGCTGGTACGGATTGCGTACAGGCTCTCAACATATCTGACCAAGACTCCTTCGACCATGGTCCTCAACCATTCGAGCTCCCATCGATTAGCTTTCATAGCTTCCTGGAACACCTCATGAAGGATGTGTCCAAAGACTTGCGGCTTGCTGATATCAGACGTGGCCTTGATTCGATCTTGAAGAACAGCTCGCCGTTGGCAGCCGACTGCATCAGCGACGACGGTGGCTGATATCAGGTGATCCGGATGGAGAATGATCATGTTGCTAGAATTGTCCACAATGCATTGACCTCGACTATCGAAATCGCCAATGAGGTGGATGTATGAATTCTTGGTGCAAGGAGTATCAAACCAAGATTCTCGTAAGATAATCACTTTCTTGTGACCATTCTTCTCATCCTCGACCGAGAGTACCTAAAATTTTGGGTGAGCCATGGATGATGACGGAACTGATTTCATCAACAGCTTTTACTGACCTGCTCTGGTTGAGTGCGTCCTTTCTGGGTAACATATGTACTTTCTGAAATATTGACTATTAGGTACCGCTTGATAGCTTGTTGCGCTCTATGTTTCTACAGAGAACTCATAGTAAGTATCTATAAAGGAATGCGTCCTAAGGGTAACCAACTTGATTTCGAGCGTCTGCGCGAGACTGAAGCATTGAATCTTCAATGGCCGCCACGTCAAAGTCCTCATCGTCAAACTCATCACTTGACGATATCTCTCCTGACTTCCTGGCTTCTTGAGCTTGTCGTCCACTCGCTACGCTCGAATGAGCTGCCCCAGTATGGGTGGCTGAATCCGCCAATTCCTGCCCGACTTTCCGAGGGGAACCACCCTGTTTAACTGACGTCTTCTCATCATATTTCGCAAGCAACTCCTCCATTTCTGGAAAATCGTCGTCATCATCAAATTCATCATCGTCGTTTTGTACATGCGCATTCGAAGCTGAAGACCGTTTGCCGTTTGCGTTTTCTGCCGGACTTGGTGACTGTTCTGGATCGAAACCAGTCTTATTGAAAGAAATTCCCGATTCCATCCTTTCATTTTTCGTTGAATTAGTGAAGGGATCGGTTGAAGACTCGACTAGTGCAAGAAGGTCTTCATCCAAGTCATCATCACCAAAGTCAGACGATGACCCCTGGACCTTAGCTTCACTCGCGGCATCAACTTGATGATGGCTTTTTTCAGGTTCATCCGTAGCATCATGAGTGGGCTGCCCAGCAGCTTGTGATTTCTGTTTTCCTTCTGGAGACGGTGATCCATTTCCCGACGCATCCCCCCGATCCGGCGGTGGAGACGAACTTGGTGCAGCGGTTGCGTTGGCCTTTGTAGACTTCACAAGACTCTCTTGGATTTTATCCAACAGAAAGTTGAGTTTCGATGACCTCGAGCTGCCTGATTCGAACACGTTGCTCTTCGAGCGGGAAAAAATATCCCGGAGAGTGCGCGTCCCTTCCTGGCCTTCAATCCTCCTTCTTTTGGCTTTAGAGGTAGGCCAGTCCACATTGCAGCTAACTGATCTTCTCAAGCCGGACGAGTCCCTGCCTGTCTTGGCCGATAGGGGAGTCTGAGGCGAGGACGAGAGGTTGGCGAATTGAGGAGGGAGTTCGACGTTGCCGTCGATTTTGCTTTTACCAACATAATTGTTCCACAAATCGGCAGCCATGTCACTCTGAGGAGTCTTCAAGAGAGGTTGGAAGGTCTTCATGTCAAAAGGTTCTTTAGTCCCACCTTCGCAGCCACCCTTGAGCGGAGAGCTGGTAGGAGAAGAACTGTGACGGCGCTTCTTCCCCCTGGTAGCAGGGGTCGCACTAGGTGGATCTGAACTTCGGGGCACATGTTGCCAGGAGACGTAGTCGTCTGGCGTCAATTCCTTTCCCGGCGCGAGCTTGAAAGCCTCCTCGGTGTTGCTGATTAAGTCCGCTAACGGGATCCTGTTCGCCGGTGTCTTGGGACATTCTTTGACGGGCTTCGCTTCCTTAGTCTGCGTCGACGGTTGAGATTTGGATGGCGAGTTTGTTTGTTCTACAACTCCGTTCATCCATGAGATTTGGTTCTCTTTGTCCGCATTGGCCGCGGCTCCAGAGGCCGCTTTTGAGGGTGACGTTTTGGGGTGTGAGGGTTCCTCTTCACTCGTGACATATCGAAAACTGTTCAGTTTTGACCGCGAAGCAGAAGAGACGTAAGGATCGTGGTTTGCGGCCATGGTCAAACCATTGAGGGCTTCTGCATTCGAGCGTTGCTCTTAAGAGCACTGGGGAAGGCACAGTTAGCAATGGTAGTTCCAAGAATGTATAGACATCGGAGTGTAAAGATTTTACCTGTATCACGGAAACTGTTAGATAAGGAAGCCCATAGCTGAGGACCCTGTCAATAAAGTCCATTGAGAAGCAAGGCTCAATGAAGTGAGGGATAAATTGGGCAATGTTGATTATGGCAACCGCGGTTTGACGCGGGGGGACGCGTCACGGCGCCTTGGTGCCTGAGGCATAAGTTTGGTGCGCTAATAATATTGATGCCCCGCTTTTCAGGCATGAACATTGTCAAGAGTACATACATACGTAGGTAGCAGGTTAACTGAGCACCAGGGATTTCCAAGGCCCGTGTGGCCTTTAATCATTGCATTACGGAGATAAAGCTGCCTACAGGCCAGGTCAACGTTTGACTGTGTAGTCTTGCAATCTCTTCAATATCTTTACTGTTTGCGGTAGTGCAGATAGACATTTTGCGCGATTTAGAAATGAAAAATATATTCGTCTCGAATGGGCAGCGATGAGGCGACATTTCAATGCCAACACTCGTTTGTTTCGCACTGTTTTCAGAAATAATTGCAGAAAAGGCCCACAGCGGACCTCTTTGAAGTCGCAAATATGGGGATGAGCTGTCGCCCAAACTCTTCTCCACTAAGATAGGCGTAGGCGTTGGAAATAATTGTCAGCTATACACACAAAATAAAGTCATTATTATTCTCCGCGGGAAAGGCATGCGATAGAATCCCTCTGCTGATCGTGGCGCATCTGATGCAATAGCGGTTAGGGAATTGTGCTTGGCTTTGCACCCGCAGGTGACTTGCCCAAGTCGGCCCACCGGGTTCCGGGCGACTCCTGGTTAGCTCCATCTGCCCGTCTCGACTTCAACGACAAACCAGTCATCCAACAGCGTCCACAGGAGCGAGCCACCTACCAGCTAGGCAAGTCGGCTCTCAGGTCAATCAATTGAGCCTGGTGTCGCTCTGTTGAGCAAACTGCCACATCCCCAGCGCCTTTCTCGTCACAACAAATTTTCGCCCCACATCCGAAAGGCCTCAAGGGCGCACCGCACTTGACCTCCGATCGCCATTATCTTCGACAGAGCTTGCGGATCTCGCGATGCCTGCTCGATCTCTGCCACTCTCCCTTCGATCTCGCTGCCTCCTGCGAAAGCCGCACACCTCCCGGGCTTTCTCAACACGAGGCAGCCTGCGTGCCGCGGATCATGGTAACCACTACGACCCCCCGGGTGGCTGGCTTTTCGGCGTCAAGCCTGGTCAGAAGTATGTGAAGGAGGGCTGGGAAAACATCTTCTACATTGGATTCATCGGAAGCCTGGTTGCCGCTGGTATCGCATACGTTTTCAAGCCGGACACATCGTACGTGCAGTCATTCCCCAGATCGGTTTTTTGCCCGAAACACTTTCTTGCGATCATCACCATGGATACTACATTCGTTTCCCCCAAAAGACATCATCCATTTCAAAATTTACGGAGCTGGTTGCTAATCCATCTCGGGAATCTAGGATACAAACCTGGGCCTTGGAAGAGGCACGCCGGAGATTGGAAGCGGAGGGCATACTGGAAGACCCCGACAAAACCCAGAAGCAGTGATTTGCATTGAGTTTCTTCGTTGACATATCCAACTGCGTTGTATATAGAGATCAGGGGCGGGAGATTCTGATCTGGTTTGGCGCAGTCACATGAAAGAGCTTGATGGGCAGGTTGATGTTAGACCGTTTTTTCCTTTATTAAAATGCGTTCCTTTTTCTTTCTGTTTTCTTAATGCGGAGTACCCTAGCATCCAATGGACTGCTTCTGATTTCAAAGCTAATTTATGGGATGGGGACGGATAGTATCCGTGTTCTCGGTCGCAGTGTATAGATTCGAATGTCTTCAACAGCGAAACTTTGCTTGGTATACAGAGAAGTGCACCATGTTGAGGTTTGAAACAGTGTGCAAAACTGAACTACCTATTATGTTCTGAGTTTCACACCTCAGGGTAAACGTCTGTCCTTCGCAGTAGTGGCATTTCGGATCGGACTTTGGCTACAAGGTCGAGGTCAATCTCTGCAGTCGCAATTTCGGGCTCTTTATATTCGCCCCCTAGCTTTGCAACCACTTCTCCCCAGGGATTGACAATCATCGAGTGACCATAGCTGGTTCTTTTCTCGTTGTGAGGCCCAGCCTGCGCGGCAGCAATCACATATGACTGAGTCTCAATCGCTCGTGCACGGAGGAGAGCCTCCCAGTGTGCTTTTCCTGTCGGAACAGTGAATGCAGATGGGTATGTGATGATCTGCGCATTTTGACGTTTGAGTGCAAGGCTGATCTCGGGGAATCGTAACTAGAAAATACAGATGTATCGTATAAGCAATCCTGCCCTCTTTTCTTCAAGGAAAGTAATCAAGATATTCATCCTAGGATCACTCACATCAAAACATATTGACAGACCAACACGCCCAATAGCCGTGTCAAAGGGTGGAAGGATTTCCGTCCCCTTTTCGACGCTCCTAATTTGCAGCGATATTAGCGACATTTCAAGGCCATGTCACACAAAAAACTGTCACAACATACTCGCTTTCTTTCAGGACTGGGCCGTTTTTGATTTCAACGTCAAATAAATGGATCTTTTGATATCTGTGCACGATCTCGCCTTGTTCATCAATCCATATTAAGGTGTTCTTCACCTTGGTACCACCTTCGGCGGGCTCATGAATCCCAACATTGATAGGCAACTTTGCTTGTCTGGCCTCTTTCTGAAGACCCAGGACAAATTCGCTGTCTTGTACAGAGCGAACCAATGACACTGTCTCCGCACTCGATGAAGCGATATAATCCGAAGCTTCAGGAAGGAAGAGTGCCTGGCTAAATATTAGATTCTCAAGGAATATTCCAAGATATGTTTTCGGGAAAGAACTAAAATAAAAATCGAACGGATTTCTCATACCTTGGCACCAGCAGCTACTGCTTTCTTAACCAGAATACGGCACTGGGCGAGATTAGTCGCCATGCACGCCGTTGAGCATAACTGGCCAACAGCCTATCATGGAAGTGAGCGGGGCCCATGCAGGAAATGAAAGCATGAAAGGGCGCATACAGCTATCACCATCGTAATTATCTCTATGTAGTCAGGCTACAATATTAGATTTCATATAACTATTAAAACAAAAAATTCAAAATAGGGGTATCGATAGTGCTGTGTTATTCGTGCGTGAGGAGCTCCTGTCTGTCGTGATAACCGATAAAGTCGACGAGATGTCGGCATACCTTCCCGATTCGGTCCCGTAAGACTTCCTCCGCAATTACTTGCCATCCCGCGAACATTTGATATTTTCACAGCTCACGTCATATCCCCTGTCGCAACTTTACTGGGCCAAGCCCTGCTGAAATACGCAGGAAATTCTCCTCTTTAAATTCTACTGCGAGAGCAGTCACATTATTTGCTTGGCCCCGCCCTCCCGAGGGCGTCGATTTTTGACCCAAAATGAAAAGCCTGCGCAGAGACTTCTCTTCGAACCCACAGGCGGCAAATGTCTCCAGCAAAGTTTTTGTGAGATCTACGAAGAGCGGCAAGGTTCAGAAAATCGTTCGCGAGCTCTACCTGCGACAGGACATTCCTTGCTCCTCGAAACTCTGCACAATATGTCCGTCATACGCGCCCGCGGACGCGAATGGGAACAGTACGAAAACCCGTCGGTCGCAACCGGTCAAATGTCATAATAGCTAACACATAATCAAAACAGTTGCTCCCTTCGTCCTTTCCGATCGCCCTGCCGGAACTAAAGCTTTTCCCAAGGGCCATTATATCGTCCCTGATACGAACGCGTTGTTGAATGGCATGGACCTCTTTGAGCACACGGGAGCTTTCTACGACGTGATCATCCTGCAAACCGTTCTCGAGGAGCTGAAGACTCTATCCCTCCCACTCTATAACCGCCTTCTCGCGCTGGTAAAAACGGATGAAAAGCGCTTCTACCTCTTCTTTAATGAGTTCCGACTGGAGACCCACGTACGTCGAGACCCGGATGAAACCATCAACGATCGGAATGACAGAGCTGTTCGCACCGTCGCCAAATGGTATGAGGAGCATCTCCAGCAGGCAATAAAGAAGGGAAAGAAGGAGAAGTCTGTTCCGGCAATTGTCGTCATTACTGACGACAAGGAGAACTTACGCAAGGCCCAGGAGGAAAATGTTACGGCGTTGTCGTTGTCAGACTACGTCGCTGGGTTGGAAGACTCGGATACGCTCCTAGACATGATCAATGAGTCCCGGGAAGCAAAAGGTCCACGGGAAGAGCTATTCTACCCCGAGTACTATTCCATGTCAAAAATTATGACAGGGTTACGAGCGGGCACGCTACATCAAGGTGTTTTCAACATCTCTCCCTACAATTACCTGGAGGGATCTGTAAGTGTCGCTGCATTTGACAAGCCCCTGTTGATTCTCGGCCGCGACAACAGCAACAGGGCCATTTCGGGAGATGTGGTTGTCGTCGAGGTCCTACCGAAAGATCAATGGAAGACTCCTTCGTCAAAGATCGTTGACGAAGAAGCGGTGACCATGAATGAAAACCCTGAGAGCGAAGAGAATGAAGCCGTGGTGACAGAGAGGGAACGAAAAGCGCTGCAGGAGGAAGTCAGAAAAGCACATGGAAAGAACGCCGAAGGAAGGCCTCAGCCGACTGCGCGAGTCGTGGGTATTGTCAAACGAAACTGGCGCCAATACGTCGGGCACGTCGATCCTTCTTCTACGGCTTCGCTAGCCAAGTCCGGGAGACGACAGCAGACGGTCTTTGTGCTGCCGATGGACAAGCGAATCCCCAAGATTCGAATTAGGACGAGGCAAGCTGCTGAGCTGTTAGGCCAAAGAATCCTTGTGACAATAGATAGTTGGGATCGCGATTCCCGGTATCCCACAGGCCATTTTGTTCGGGCGCTGGGAGAATTGGAGACGAAAGACGCAGAAACTGAAGCCTTGCTTCTCGAATACGACGTCCAGTACAAGCCGTTCCCCAAAGTCGTTCTGGATTGCTTGCCACCTGGAGGTCATGATTGGAGGGTACCTGCAAACAAGGACGACCCCCGGTGGAAGGGACGTCGCGATTTACGAGATTTACTTATCTGCAGCATTGACCCCCCTGGCTGTCAAGATATCGATGATGCGTTACATGCTCGACCATTGCCGAACGGTAACTTTGAAGTAGGTGTTCACATCGCCGACGTGTCGCACTTTGTCAAACCCAACACCGCCATGGATTCCGAGGCTAGCATGCGTGGCACCACTGTCTACCTCGTCGATAAGCGAATTGATATGCTTCCCATGCTCCTTGGTACTGATCTTTGCTCCCTTAAACCGTACGTGGAACGCTTTGCTTTCTCGGTCATCTGGGAACTTACGCCCAATGCCGAGATTGTGTCTGTCGATTTCACGAAATCGGTGATTCGCTCCCGCGAAGCATTCAGCTACGAGCAAGCGCAGATGCGAATTGACGATGTGTCCAAGACGGATGAGTTGACCCAGAGCATGCGCACGCTGCTGCGTCTCTCCAAGATCCTGCGTCAGAAGCGGATGGATGCGGGCGCCCTGAATCTTGCCTCACCCGAAATCCGGATCGAAACCGAGTCGGAACTGAACGACCCTCTGACGGACGTCAAGACCAAGGCGCACCTGGCGACAAACAGCTTGGTTGAGGAATTCATGCTGCTTGCGAACATCACTGTCGCATCGAAGATCTACAACGCCTTTCCCCAGACCGCCTTGTTGCGAAGACACGCCTCACCTCCTCCGCAGAACTTTGAAGAGCTTGCTACGCAACTGCAGAAGAAACGGGGTCTCAAACTGGATGTTTCCAGCTCAAAGGCTCTGGCCGATTCTCTCGATCGCTGCGTCGACCCAAAGAATCCTTTTTTCAACACCTTGATTCGCATTCTGGCGACTCGATGCATGACTTCGGCCGAGTATTTCTGCGCAGGAGCCCATGCCGAATCCGACTTCCGCCACTATGGTCTCGCGTCGCCCATTTACACACATTTCACGTCACCCATCCGGCGATACGCCGATCTGGTGGTCCACCGGCAGCTTGCCGCCGCCATCGGATACTCTACTGCGGACGGCCTCAGCCGACGCAGTCAGCTGGAGGATGTCTGCAGGAATATCAACTATCGACACCGAAACGCTCAATATGCGGGCCGAGCCAGCATCGAGTACTATGTTGGTCAGGCGTTGAAGGCGCGCGGTGAGATGGCGGCGAAGGGCAGAGGCGAGGACCAGAACCCCGGAGTCGATGAGGAAGGGTATGTGATGCGCGTGTTTGAAAACGGAGTTGTCGTCTTTGTGCCGCGTTTCGGTATCGAGGGAGTTGTCCGGCTCGAAGACTTCATGCTGCCCGGGAATCCAGTGCGCCCGGATGTTCATGACTCTGAGAACAGGAAGGAGCTCGCACTGCGGCGAGACAGCGAGTTTGATCCGGAGGAGTACACGGTGCGAGTGTGGGAGAAGGGGCATCCGGAACCCGAGCGGTCACTCCAGGTCGAACTATTCGAGAAAGTCCGCGTGAACGTCAGCTCGGTGAAGGAGGAAGGCGGCCGCGGCGCGGGCAAGAGGAGAGTGCGGATCTTGATTCTGGGAAAGGCATGATAGACTAGTGGACGATCAGAAGTCATGACGAATGGACATATAGAGCGGAATAAAAATAAGAAACGCCATCGTGGTCCACACGAGGCATCTCAACAGATCTAACGCCAAGTAAGATGCAATAGCCAATGTGACAGATCAAGCGGGTCGTTCCACTCAGCGATCCTTCCCAAACACGTAAACAACGACACAGCCAAGTTGTGTAGAAAGATTCTACAGTACGAGGAGTGAAAGCTTGGAGTTGTTGCGTCCATGCAGCCTTGAACCAAGGTTGGTCGACGGGACTAGGGCTCGGGCCGAGGAGTGGCCCAGCAGTTGCCCCGCGTTGGCCTCGCGACGCACGGCGTGTTTGTTTGGTTTGTCCGAATCGGGCGATGCTGTGCTGGAGGCGTAGGGCGTAGTCGTACTAGGGCCAGCGCGATCGCCGATAAGGTGGGTTTCTGGCTGGTTCGGATCTAGCCAGTAGATAGTCGATAGTCGATAGCGATGGCTAGCGTTATTAGCTGCCTGCTTTGTTGTCCCTGGCCATAGCTCCAGCCCTGACGACACGGTACATAACACGCTGCATCGCAGCACCCAGCCTCGGAATTATCTCAGAGCAGAGCCCCGGTTACTGTAGTTATCGCAGGGATTTGCCGTCCATAATAGTATTCTTCTTAGTTGCCCCATTCCACCAGCCCCAGTTCTGACTCAACGTGTTGCTATCCGGCCGCCACTTTGTTTTGGGTCGCTGCTGCGGAGACGGACACCCGACGCCGCTCTCGCATATAACAGCCACAGCATCATCCCAGCCATCGTCCATTGGAAAGTCACCAGCAGTCTGGTTTCTGGCTTCTCATCATAGACAGCTATGATACACAGGCACAAGAACAAAGACTCCCAGCGGAAGGTCTCTCCGCCCGGCCCTACGTATATGTCCAACGACCAAATCGGTTCGTATGCCTTTCATCACGCTGCTCTTGCCGTGTGTTTAGAAAGAGAAGCTCTTCTCAGTGCAATTCGTGCTGATTGCCCTCGGCATCTTAGCAAGCTATCTCAAAGACCTCCGAACGAACCGCCCCCCTCGTCCTAATGGCTCGAGACCACTTCCATCTAAAGGAACAGGCTCCACATCCGAGCACAAGGAGCGTCTCCCTCCACGAGCCTCGTCAGCGTTATCAATGAGCAGGCCCGGAGAGTCGAAAGAGGACTTGGTTGGCGAGTTGCATCCGCGGTCGGCCAGCGCATTGTCTCATCATCGTACCACATCAGAACTCTCGTATGGCAGTTCAGCTGGGCGGCCACTGGTGCAGCAGCCGGACGGGTACTATATCTCGAGGACCATCTCGCCCAACGCCAAGGTGAATGCGAGACACAGTCTCGGTAGCGTTGCAGCCAGTGGAGTGTATCGGGAGAGTGGCCAGCGTTGGATGGAACGACAGGAAGCACGTTCTTTACGCGACGCTTTGGAAGAGATGGACCTGCAGGAAGAACGACGCATACATGCGGCCGCACAAGAAGAGGCAACGAGATTGGTCTGGGAGCACCGGAATCCCGGAGTGCCGTACAAGAATCCGTACGCCCCATATCGCAATCCTGACCTGGACAGCAATCGATTCCGCCAGCATTCGGAGAAGGACAGCCACGCACGGAACAAGAGCTTGGGAGGCCACGGGGATTCCTCTCGGGAACATCGCCCATCATCTGATAGCTCTGGGGATCCGTCGTCGCCTGAGAGCCAGGATGGTACGAATACGAAAACCGGCACCTCAAAGAAGAAAGGCAAGGTCAATTTCGCGCTGCCACCGGAAGATAGCCCGACAAAAGGACGGAGCAGTGCGACATCGAGGTTCAGAACTGCGAACGGGGACTCTTCGAAGGGCGTGTTTAGAAATCCAGAGGACTCTATATACGAAGAGCCCGAGGAGGAGTCGAATAGCCAGACGGAGCAAAAGAACTCATCAACTGCATCAACGACGTCGGCACTGAAGGTGAAACCGCGAAATTCCCTTCCGCAGGGCTCCCGGCCTCTTCCAGACCGAACCAGTACCGTTCCATATGACAAAAGGTACTCGCAAGTCGAGATTCATAAGAACCCTCCCAGCCAGTCCAGAAATCCGCAATATACGACGAACCCCCCTCCCCCATCACCAGACTCGAAGGGAGAAGACGCAGTACCGACTAAGAATGGACTCGAGATACGGAGCGACGAGATTCGGGCTGCTACCAGCATGAAGCGCAAAGACCGCAGCCCCAACCTGCCTATGCCGACGGCAGTCAGTGATCGCCCAGGACAACCTATTGTGAGCTTTGATCCAAATTGGAAGCCTAAAGAGGAGCAGTCGAAGAATGACAAACCCAAACCCCCAGTACCAACGATCAATCTTCCGGGCGAGTCCAACGACCAAACTCCCTCGATTTCGGTCTCACCACCCAAAGCCTCCGTCGACAAACCCGCCGATAAGCCCGCCGAGAGAACGAGACCGCTGCCCGACCCGGAAAAGAATCGACAGCCGAAAACTGCGGATCCCAAGAAGATGCCTCCCGCTTCTGAGAAGAATTGGTACTCGCCATTCACGCGAACGGGAGTCCCCACGGCGACCTGCAACGCCTGTTCCCAACCCATCTCAGGAAAGGTCGTAACAGCAGCCGGATTACGGTTTCATTCCGAATGCTTTACCTGCTATCATTGCAAAACCCAGCTAGAATGCGTTGCTTTCTACCAGGAGCCCGAGGCCAAGCGAGCGGAAAGACTTGCCAATGCTTCAGAGGATGACGAAGACGCCAAGAAGATGCGATTCTACTGCCATCTGGATTTTCACGAGCTGTTCAGCCCGAGATGCAAGAGCTGCAAAACGCCGATCGAGGGCGAAGTTGTGGTTGCATGTGGCGCCGAATGGCACGTTGGTCATTTCTTCTGCGCCGAATGTGGTGATGTATGTCTTCCCTTCCTAACCAACCTAACAATTGACTCGAAGTGTTTGTATATACTAATGCAAATACAGCCCTTCACACAAGAAACCCCCTTTGTGGAGAAAGACGGATTCGCATGGTGTCTCCGCTGCCACTCCCGCCGCACAGCAGCTCGCTGCATGGGGTGCAAGCAGCCGGTTCTCGACGAAGTCGTCGTCACGGCCCTGGGCGGCCAGTGGCACGACAAGTGCTTTGTCTGTCACGAATGCGGGAATCCCTTCGGCCCCGAAGGGCGATTCTTCGTCAAGGAAGGCGAGCCCAAACGGTCCGCGAAAGGACGCATCATCGGCGGGCCGGTCCAGCTGGCTGTCTGTGAGAAGTGCGAGGCTATCAGGTTGAAGGCTTCTCCTTAGCAGCAACCAACATACCAACCAACCAACTAAGCACTGTAGCCGTGGTATAGGGCGTGGTATTTTTTCTGCCAGGTATTGGACGCGTATCTGTCGATCCATTTACTAAGGTTGTTCCCAGATCTGCGGTGTTGTTGCTTGTTGATTTTTTTTTCTGGTCTTTTTTCTTTTTCTATTTTCGGGTACATTATCTCTACATACATGCACATTTGTCTATTTGATTGACTTGTTGATTGATTGTCTGTTCTTGGTTTGGCTTGGAGTTTCTGGTTTTGTTTTCGTCGTTGGTTTGTGTTTGTGTCTAACTGAATTGGAGTTGGAATCTGACTTGAATTTATTACCTTATTACCCGATCCATGGCGGGTCAGGTCAAGTCAGGTCAGGTCAGTCGGCTTCATGCCGATTCGACTCAGTTCGTAAAGCCTGCGTGTGCGGATATCCGGCCTAATTAAACCAGCATTATCACTATTACAGGTAGCTGGTGACAATACAATAAGGAACTACCTACCTACATAGGTAGGCTACCTTTTATGAACATCGGCCTCATAGCATAATTAATTTCCTGCTTTCTTGCTTCCTAGCTGCGTAAATGTCTAAGACACCAGGTCTCGTCTTTATCAAAATCTCTCCCATCTATTATTGATCATGACCCCGTCCAAGCAGGATCAGGTAGCCGTCTGAACACGGCGACGAATTTCGGCCCGTTGTTCCGGGTGACTTTCTTCCCTTCTTCCGTCTCTTCTTTCATGACTCGCACGCATTCGTCTTTCTCCAGCTCCTCGTTCGGGACGCGCTCCCATAGTTCCCGAACACCTCGTACGCCTGCTTCATACTCCTCCTCTTCCTCCTCCTCTGCTTCTGCCTCGGTTTTCTCTGTCTCTGCCTTTTCTTCTTTTGTTCCCTCCTCCGTTGTTGTTGTTGTTGTTGTTGTTGTTGTTGTTGTTGTTGTTGTTGTTGTTGTTGTTGTTGTCGTTGTCACCTTCTCACCAAAATGCCTCAATATCCAATGATGGTATTCTTCGACATCGGTGATGGTGTACAAAAGCCCTCCGGGCCGCAGCACGTATGCATACTCGGCATTCAGGCTCGACGAGATGATGCGCGCCTTGTGCTTGCGCGCCTTGAAGTGCGGGTCAGGGAAGCAGATGAAGATCTTGGACAGCTGGTGTCGGGCGAAAAAATTGGGGAGGAACTTCATCGTGTTGGCCCGGAGAGCGGAGATGTTCTGGTACCCGCCAGGAACGGCAGCGGATGGTGATACTGAGGCGTTTCTGTCTGGTATCGAAGGAGCGCCTTCAGGTGTAGAAGCGCTATCTGCCTGATTCGATGAAGATGAAGGAGACCCTTCTGACGGTGCAGCAGGTGTACCTGACGTGGATGCGCTAGAAATAGATACTCCTCTTGCCTTTTGCTGCTGGGCGCGGAGGGCGTGGATGCGCGTGCGAAGATAATCTAGGACTTGGGTGCGGATTTCCATGCCTGGAATCCAAGATTGGTCAACATTTCAAGATCTTTTTTTTCTTTCCCCGACATCTTGACGAGACTCACCGATCATCAAGGTATCCGGCATCAGCGGAGCGAGTCCAACCAACAACCCGCCAAACCCGCATCCTATATCAACCACCTCCACATCCTTGACGAGTTTCCGTGCGCCACCAAGGTTCGTCTTTGTCGGGTCAGGATCGACAAAAGCAGGGAAATGCGACGCCCAATCCATATGCGCGGGGCTGAGAGGACTGTCCAGGCTGTCAGCTTCCTCGATACGCATCTGGTGCGAATTCGTAGGAACATACTAGTCCAATTGATGGTCCGAAAAAGGATTCGCATGTGCACGCTGCCGGTAATACCTCTTCTTGGGCATCTTGACCTCCCCGTCGGCGTTCTGCGCTTCCTGCTGCGCTTTGCGGTACTCCTCCCGCTTCTGGCGTTTGCTGGGAGGGGGCGCCATGATGGAGACTCCGTATAATTGCAAGTACCTGCGTTGAGAGGAGAGATAGACTCTAGGCCTGAGGAGGAGTGTAAACATAAATGTGCAGCACAAGCTGCCTAGGCAGTAGGTAGGCGGAGGAGGAGTTGAGGTCGGGAAGGGAACATTTTTTTTCTTTTACGGTAGGAGGCTAAAATAATAAGCTTAACCCTTCAGAAGCATGCGACAGTAGCCGCGTGCATACAACCCGCGTATATATCAGCGATTACGAGATCCTTTTGTCTACGATTTATGAATATTTATCTAGATAACAACTATTTTGTTTAACTGCAGTTTCAAGAGAAGGTTGACATTCTGCAATGCACTTTCGTTACTAACTATTTGTAATGGTCTCGGCGGCAATCGGGGCCTCCGCTATCTCCTTATCCGCCCGCATGACGCTTCCAACCAAGCAATCTGTACCGACAAGCCTACAAACGGAACGATTGCAACACTGGTTACCCTGTTATACGGAGTACTTATTTCTATAACATATCACATATAGAGGAATCGGTCGTCACTTGAAGCTTTTCAATTGGCCAACGGAATCACTACTCTCCCTGGAGTTCTCGCCCCGCGGGGCATATCGGACCGCGAACTCACCCCACCTCGTCCTCCGACGCCTGAACTGATCCATTCCTCCTCGCAGCGTCATACCGACATTCGAAACACATTTTTGGATTTGAGCGGAGGGGAGGAAAGACAGATAACATGACATCCTCACCGAATTCGTTCCTGTCGGCGCCCACTCCTGCCGGCAGCGTGTTAACACCTGCCAACACCACCTCCTCCAGAGACCCTTCCATAAGGACAGCAGCAACAAATACAATATCAACAAATACATCTACATCGACTTCGAATCCTACTGCTGGCACAACAGCAGAACCGAGCACGACGAAAAAACAAACAACGACACCGACAGGATTCACCTTCCCCGGCGCTTACAACTGGCCGCCGTTCTTCACACTGCAACCCAACGCCTCGACACGCCTCTCGCAGCTGCGGAAATGGTCGTCGCTCATCCAGGCCTGGTGTCGACACCACCGGATCTTCCGGCTCTCGCTCGTCGATGCCGTCGAGACGCCGCTGTTCCACAACACCGAGCTGCGGAAGCGCATCGGTCTCAGCGACGCGCGCACGATCGTGGACTGGATGACGAAGAGTGAAGAGGAAGGTGGTGGCGGGAGGAGGGCTGAATGGGTGCCTCCTAAGGGATCAGGAGACAGCGGGGGTGCAGGCGCCATTGATGCGAAAACCGTGGCGTGGATCTGGTGGAGGAGGCCGGAGGAATGGGCGATGTTGATAGCAGATTGGGTGGGTTCTAATCACGTCCTGCGACTATGGAAAGAGATCTAACACTTTCTTCCGGTCTAGGTTGAAGAAACCGGCCAGAAGAATACCGTTCTGACGCTGTACGAATTGATGCATGGCGAGGCCACCGCCTCACAAGGTATGACAAGCGCACCTTCGTTAAGAGTGACAACTGGCCCAGCTCGATCTGCATATACGACTTCTGGCTGACCAACATCTTCAGAATTCCATGGCATGGATCCAGATGTGTTGCTCAAGTCCCTGAATGTCCTGGTCAAACGTGGCAAGGCCCAGGTCTTCGGGAACGAGGATCAGCAGGGTGTCAAGTTTTACTAGGACTCAGGAAATCCAGACTGAAATGTGCGGTATTCAATATGCCATGCTTTGATTGGGTATTTCAACAATGACTACACTCCAAATCGACGCCAAATAAAATGAACAGCCATAACCGTGGACACCCTCTCCCAATCTAACGAATAAATCATGAGCCAATCCCTGACCACCGACAGCATTTACACAGTTTTGCAATTCCCAATCCATCCTTCTATCCGTTGGTCACGCTCTGCTCATTCAACTCATATTCATCCTTCCAACGGATCTCCTGTGACATGGCAATATCTAGAAGCCAGTTCACATTCACAATCCGGGGCACCTTCCCAACGTCCTGCACCATCTGACGGAATCGAGGCCACAACTTGACCTGCTCGGGTGCCACGCCACTGAGAAGGTACACTTCGTTTTTCTCAGGGTAATTCCCTTCGTCCTCTTCGTCGTCAGTGTTCGTCCGAGGGCGAGATTCGTTCATCGAGACCCGCCCGCGGAACAGCGTACATTCCCCTCCATTCGCCTCAACGATGGATTTGAACGCATCGAATCCCCCACGGATCGTCTCCACACAGCACACCCGATAGCCCCGCAGGAGCTTATTCTTGTTTTCCTGGGCTCTGGCACGCGATTCCTCTAGAGAGAAATCGAATTTCTTCTCAGCAGCTTTGTCGACAAGCGGAAAGTCTGCTGGGTCAAGCAGTTGGTTCTTGGCAAGACACTGGGTCACAAATTCGTCATTGACGATGACAGGAGCATATGCCAAGGCATTGACGAACTTTGGTGTACGTAGGATAGAGGGAGCGGCGAGATGAGTGCATTTTTTGGCATCTTGAACGACTGAGATACCCAATTCACGGAGTTGTCGCTGGTAGATATTAGTTAAAAAAAAGAGCCATCATAACAATCCGAAATGATACAACAAACCTTGTCTGCATCCTCCTTCTTCAGATTACCAACCCATTTCTGGTACCCAGTTATGAGTAAGTGGATCGTCACTGGAGGCTTGGCCTTCTTCTGCCGTTTCGCCTCGGCCTTGTCGTCCATCTCACTCGCGTCTTGAGGTTCGGTTGATCTCCGCTTCTTGCTATTTGGAATAACCAAGTCCTCGTCATTTTTCCGTCGGCCGCCATAAATGACTCCGCCAACCCGCCTCTTTTCCTTTTCGTATAATGCAATGTCAGGAGCGATTTCCTGAAGCCGAGCTGCTGCAGCTTCCTTTGACTTCCGACTACCGGTGGTGGATGGCGTGTCATTCTCCTTTCCGTCCGCCGCAAATCGTGCAGCAGCTGGCGTCTTCACCTCTACCACCGCTGACACTTTGCGGGACGTGTTGCTAGTTGGTGCAGCGGGCTCCTCCGAAGCAGGAGTGGCTTTGGCTGACTGCTTGACAGTTTTGGGCTTAGATGGATTCACGGAGACATTGTCGGATCCGGCTGCGACATTCTGGTACTTCTGCTGCATCACTCTTGTTTCTTCACGAGGATTATCTGCCGGGAAGAAAAGTTCTTCAAGCACTGTTTTGTCCAGCTCGGTCTGGCCAACCACCTCCCCGAGATTGGTCCGCCGGGGAAAGTGTGTATAGCGCGGGTCAGAGACCGGCTGTAGCTTCCATTTTGCGTAACTCTCCTCCAGCCACAGGTGGTTGACCACGCACAGACCCCATTCCTTGGCTGCAGTGCACTTCTCACTGTTACCGTGAGCGGTCACAAGGTGGGTGTTGTCCTGCTTTAGAGTCTTGGTGCACTCAGCGCCTGTAGCCACAATGAGGTTTTCAAGATAAGCTCGCGCTTCGCCAGCGTAGTTGGATAGACTGATCTTGAGGCCCTTAAACCCGGGAATCCCAGTGCGAGAGATTGGATAATGCAGTAGCCGACGCAGCGGGGATGTCCACGTATTATGCGTGATGAGGTGATAGAGCCAGGATAAATTGCCAACATCCTTGTTCCACCTTGAAGCCATTCGGTACTCGACACCCTCCCGATAACGACAGATGAACATATCTGCCTTCTTCAGGTCTTTGGTGACCACACCTCCCCCTTGTCGAATGAGATCTTCAATGGAAGCGAGCAGATGCGATCCAATGCCCAGGTCTGACGAAAGCATGATGTGTTTTCCCTCAAAGACATTCAAGACCCGAGTGCTGTGAGGCGACTTAGCCGGCGTCGGCAAACCAGTGGGCTCTGGGGTGGAAGCCCCTTTGATATCTTTATTGTCGGGGGTGCGAATGGGCGCGTCTGGTCCAGCATGGAGGATCTCAGGATGAGGAAGGGTGTAAGGGCGCTCGTCAATCCTCCTTCCGAGTTTCAGACAATCGTCGAACCTTGAAGGGAAAAAAGGAGTTAGACACATAATGGAATTGTAAATTGAAGAGGGTTTCTAAGCATCCATACCAATGCGGTAACACTATCTTAGTATTCAACTTCTTCGCCAGAACCATTTTTGCCTTGTCTGATTCCACGCTTAGATCTACCAGATGTGTCACCTGTGAAGTAACCTTTGGGGAGTAAAGACCGCCCATGGCCAAAACGCCGCCGATGATCGCATCCTTATCGCCTTCGGGGATATCGCCGCAGGTGACGACCACATCGCTGAAAAACAGTCTCGGATCCGGGCTGTATTGGCGCGGATTGGCCAGTTTCCCCCTGGAGATCGAGACGTGCAGCCATTGGGGCTTCACGACGGGGATCAGGGCGTCACAGGCATTTTGGTATGCGGGAAAGTCGGAAGTGGACGAGATGATATGAGTGAATTCGTGGATCGGAGGGAAGGTCGAGGGCGGTTCATGAATGATGATCTCGCCGCCGTGTTGCTTGATCAAGACAGCCAACTAAACATGCAAGCAGGATCAATATACGTCCAGGAGAGAAGCTGAAGTGAATTCGCAGCGCACCTGTTTTGCGGCGTCTTCGTCCAAATCCTTGGAGCAGACGATACAGATCTTGCACTGCCCCAAAAGCTGGGATTCGGCCATGGTGGATCAGCGATCGAACCGATCTCCCCGGACTGGGAAGACCAGCGAAGTGGCTCGTCCTGTGATTTCTCGGTCTTCAATGATGCCGCTGCGTGAAATATTTAAGCTAGTGGCACAGAAGACGTCGAAGAGAGGGGCAGTTTATTGTTGGGACTGGGAGTGGCCGTCGACATTGGCTGCGTCTGATCTGATTTGATTTCCGAGTAATTGTCCGACGCGCGGGTGCACGTCCACGCGGGACGCGCTGCGGAACGCCCTGTCACGTGATGCCATCGGATTTTAGAGACGGAGAATAATATGACCCAGGCCAGCACTCCCTCAACTGAAAGCAGCAAGTGGAATAATCCCTTCCTGTGCAAGTGTGAAGTGAAGAAGGAATGAAAATAAGTACATATTTTCCTTTAATCTCCTACGAAAATAGGAACAGGTCGCAATTATACGTAAATATACGTCTGTGACTGTAGGCAAAAGCCCCTCTGATTGGCTCGGCCCGCGGACGACCTCAGGCCTCGGCTCATCTTTGCCCCAGACTGCAGCCGCGGGACGCAGCTAGTTGATCTGGGGATGCTTGATTGGATTTATCGGTAGTTAAACCACTGTCATTAGTCCTCTCGCAGTTCAGAATATACGGGGCGTCATACGAATATTCTCTTGTGAGAAATAGAAAGCAAATCCCGCAATCTGTCAAGCTTACCATCGGCGGCCTCTCATTATATATATCAAAGTGCTTTAACAAGAGAGCGAAAGAGACAGAAGAGAGAGCACTGGGATCAGAAACAACCCTTTCCAATCCAGGCAGATTACAGTATGTCATCATCCACGAGCGGACCTTTCCACATCGTGGAACATGTGGTCCCAGGCCAGTATATCAGGGAGTACCCGCAGGCGACATCCACCTCGCAGGAGGAGACGCTCTACCTGGCCGTGAAGCAATACATCCCCCTCGACAACCAGAATCCGCAACCTGGCGATGTGACCATCATCGCTGCTCACGCGAATGGGTTTCCCAAGGTATGGAACGCCCGACAGTAACCAATGACTTGATATCAGATCCTGCTACATCTCATTTCAATGACTGCGCTTGCTTTCGAGTGGACTAGCCACATATTGACATATGTGTGCACATAGGAACTGTATGAACCATTATGGGAAGATCTGTACGCCCGGTCAAAGAGCCAAGGGTTCCGAATCCGAAGCATCTGGATGGCAGATGTCGCGCACCAGGGGCAAAGCGGAGTGATCAACGAGAACACCCTTGGCAATGACCGTAAGTCTTACCCTCATGATTCCACGGTCATGGTATTGTGTGAACTAAGTGTCTCTCTTCAATGCAGCCAGCTGGTTCGACCATCCCCGGGATCTTCTCCATCTCATCAATCTGAAGCGCCATGAGATGCCTCGTCCGCTCGTAGGAATCGGACACAGCTTCGGCGGTGCACATCTGTTCGTCTCGACTGACCCCGGTCGCTTATTGTTGATAACTGACTTGAATGTCAAAAAACAGAGTGGCTCTTTCTCTAATGCACCCTCGCCTCTTTCACAGCCTGGTCCTCCTAGATCCAGTCATCCAACGCCAGTCCACGCAAGAACCCGCCAGTGGCGACAGATTTGTCCCTCTGAACACCATCCTCTCCACCCATCGGCGAGACATCTGGCCTTCGCGCAAGGCCGCAGCAGAGAGCTTCAAAAGGAGTCCCTTCTACCAGACCTGGAACCCACGGGTGCTCGAGCGCTGGGTGCAATACGGCCTCCGGGAGCTCCCAACAGCCATCCACCGGCTGGACCAGAACCAAACCGCTGGTAACAATAATGGTGATGATACTGCCGATCGGCCAGTCACCCTCACGACAACGCGCCACCAGGAAGTCTTCACCTTCTCCCGGCCGAACTACGACTACGACCCGGTCAAGAACCGGCCGGCCAACACCTGGACCCATCCGGACCTGGACCCGAACGGCCCCAATGCCTACCCGTTCTACCGACCTGAACCCCTGCGTCTCTTCCACCAGCTGCCACACCTACGACCCAGCGTGCTGTACATCTTCGGCGGGAAATCCAACATGTGCACGCCAGAGATGTGCAACGACAAGCTCAGCACGACGGGCACGGGCGTCGGGGGCAGCGGCGGCGTGGCAGCGGGTCGCGTGCGGTCCGTACTTTTCAAAGACAAAGGCCATCTGCTGGCGCAGGAGGCAGTGACGGAGTGCGCTGACGCGACGGCCGAGTTTCTGGCCACGGAGCTGCGACGCTGGAAGGCCGAAGAAGACGCATTCCAGGCGCAATGGAGCAAGAAATCCAAACGCGAAAAAGTCACTGTAGACGAGCGGTGGATGGCAGAGGTTGGCCCGCCGCCAGCGAGGCCAGGCAGAAATAACAATAACGGCAGTTCAAAATCTAAGCTTTGATGCGGACAAAGAAGGCGAACAGAATAGAATAGATGATATGAGGTGACATGTACATAATAACCTGAGTACATACGTAGTCCACGTTCTTCGACCTCTCTGTCAGTTATGCATATTTCTTCTTTATTCGATTCTATCTCGTGTTGGTAAAGGCAGACAGGCCCACGCTGCAGCAGTAAACCCCCGAGAAGATGTAAGTCTCGAACACGAACAAGAAGAGAAAAATACAAAAAAAGGGGCCTTATCTGCGTCAACCGACCTAGTAGTACTAACACGAAATAAAGAATACAAGCATAATGAAAACGTCTATCGATAACCGTCCTCGCGTGTCCGCGCTGAAACCAAAATGGAAATATAGCTGATCATAACAAGAAAAACAAAAAGCACCCCCCAGACGCCTTCTACGGCGTCAACTCAATTTAGCAGGGGATTTTTGTGTTGCCGGCCACAAGTTCTCTCCCAGATTTCAATTTGTCTTTCCCATGCTAGCAAGGTTATACGTTTTATAAAACTCAAAACAACAAGAGATGTCAAGAATCGCACATTCAGCGAGTGTTCTTGTGGGCCGAACCATTGCTGTGTTCACTGGCTGGCGTCTTGCGTACCATTTCGGGGAAATGCCAGAAATGAGGCCATACCAGCTGGTACTCATCCTGACGCTTGTTCAGGCAATGCCGGAGCCAGATGCCCCAAATGATATATAGATAAGCTCCAATGCCAGTCATGAGATGCCTGGAAAGGAAGTTAGAAGTGCAAGACTGCAATGAAAAAAAGATTAGACCAGACATACCACCATCCATGGCCCTCGAGGAACAGACCCCACGGGAGTCCGATGTTCCTCCGCCAGCGTCGCAAATTCGTGCAGTACTTATTGTCCAGACTCCAGATGAAGAAGCCGCCGAGGAACATGCTCAGGCCGTAGACGACCATGAACCACATGGTCCCGAGAGTCTTTAAATCCCGCTCATTCTCATGCTGCTGCTGTTCTCTGGTAGGCACCGGCAGCCCCTTCTTCTCCCGGGCGACACGGTCCTCCTCTCGGGATTTGCGCCACCTGGGGCGCAGCCTCACTTCCATGGTATACATACTGCGGAGAACCACGACGGTGGTCAAGAGCGCATAGGCGTTCTGATGAAAGGCAGGATCTTGTAAATAGTGATAGTAGGCCGTGATAAAGACCGCCAGGCCGGTAAGAGCGATGGCGAGGAGGAGCCGCACTCCCGGTGGTCTCGCGTAGGAGAAGGAGGCGTAGCACATCAGACATGTCGTATAGATCATGGAGAGCTCGTCCACCAACTGCATGGGATCTGGATTCAGCAACGCGAGTTTAGCAACCAATTCCACGACTAAAATCTCCCCACCAACAAGGCAGGCGTACAGGAAACGATCAGAGAGACAAAGACTTGCATTTCAGGGTTGAGTGGAACAGGAAGCTGCCGGTGCCGACGAGCAGATACCCGAAGAAGGCGATCTGGAAGATCGTGTCATGTCCATGCTTCCGGCAGTTCAAGACTCCTTTCACGCCAAGAAACAGGAACAAGAGATTGGTGAGGGTATTGACGATCTCTGCGGAATAGATGGTGGCATAATAGTCCTGTGAGGGGTGCCGCACCCGCATCAGCACTGTCGATGGCCGCAGGCAGCACAATCCACGGAATCCCTACCTCTTCGCACCAATTCAGAGTCGAAGTCACAGGGCTCCAATACCCATCCCTGGACGGCGGATAAGGAATGAATGGAAGATAAGGCCACTGCGGCATGACGAAGGGTAAGTAAGGCTGGAAAAAAAAATGGCGGAGCTCCAAGATCTAGGACGAGATCGTGGGCATCCCCAAAACAAATGAAGGAAGAGACAGCAAGATAAATAAAGCGAAAGAGAGACGACAGCAAAGAACGGAGAGGTGGAGAAGAGAAAAGTGGGCTGGTTGCAAGACGAAGGAAGAAAGTCACTTAGTCACCAGGACCCTTGCGCCTACAGCCGTGACGTAGATGGAAGCAGGAAGCTCGCCGGAGGTACGGCACTAGGCAGGCAGGTCACTACTGCCGCTGTAGCAATAATGCTCAATGCTCAACGTGGCCGGCCTGAGGCCGCTCGTGCCAATAAGAATAGCAACAATTCAGACAGCCAACGGCAGGCTCGGGAAGAGGCGCGCAACTGGCGTCGCGGGGATCGATTGGCTGTGGACCGGCATTCCGGGCGCTGCCGGAGAGCTACACGGCTATAAACCTACCCAGGCATGGCTGGAAACAAACAAGACCCCATCAAATTGATGTATTTGATTGCTGGTCAGATGTCACCATGACCAGTGCATGTCGATGCGCTCTGGGTTCGGTTGGGATTCTAGAGTTCCCGATGTAATTTGTGCCTAGGTACAGACGTACGCTGCTTCATTAGGCCATGTCCAGGCCAGAGTCCAGGCTCGAAGTCGACGCCAAAGATAGACGGTTCGGCTGCCGGAAGCCAACCGGTTTTAGGGAGGATCCTCCCTTAGGCTCCATCCGGCTAGGGGCCTAAATACTTCCCTAACCCTAAGCCCTGTGTCCTGCGACTGGGCTCCGGGAAAGCTCGGCCTGGGCGGTGATCGATAAGCCGGCAGGACACATCATATATCATACCCAAGTCCCTAGCTATAGTTACTGCTCATAGTCCTGTTGAGTCCTTTGGACATCTATTCAGCGTTGAGCCGTTATGCACGACTGCTGGCTCACGCGCCATTGCGAGCGCCACTGAAAGGGAAATCTTCAGGCTGGTGGGGTTGCGACCGCCTCCCCTCACTAGTACGAATGGCTTAGCTCTCTCCCTGGTCAACTACCCAACTCCGTGGTCTTGCTATTATTATCGCAGTCAGTCCCTATAACTAACCGTCAAAATGTCCATCCCCAACGAGGCCCTGCAGAAAGTGAGTCCCTGCGTTGGACGAAACGAGTGTCGTGCGTCATTCGCGGTGGCTAACCCGGCATTCGCCTCAATAATAGATCGTGCAGGAGATCGAGACGCGCGCGGTCACTGCCCAGCAGCAGATCAACCTCGTCAAGGCCCAGATTTCCTCAAAGCAGCGCGATGCGCGACTCGTACAGCTGACGGCCAATGAGATCGGCTCATTGCCAAAGGACACCAACGTCTACGAGGGCGTTGGTAAAATGTGCGTCTCGCGTTTCCCCCGCATCTGACTTTGGGAGGATTTTTTTTGCACCTGTTCAAGGGACTGACGCTTGAATTTTTTTTTCCAGGTTTGTGGCCACGCCTATCCCCGTGATCGACAAGCGTCTATCAGCCGAGAGAGACGAGTTGAAATCCGATATCAGCAACCTGGAGAAGAAGCTGCAGTACCTCGAGACGACCCACAAGAACAGCCGAGAGAACATTGAGCAGATCCTCAGGTCAGGAACGAGGGCGTAATTTCGTTCCGTTCTGAAGTTTATGGGGAGGACGAATAGGATTCAGTCAGTTTAATAAACTGGCTCGCGAACCGTTTGGGGTCCTACGCAAGCAGTTGCAGCGGAGGGAACCATCTGACATAACAAAGATACCCAACCAAACAAAGAAACAAGAAAATACTATTCTCTAATTTTTTTTCTTTTACATCCACGATGAAGATTCATTGGGGAGATGGCTCATGATCATGGGATCTCACATGACCTGGTCACTGAAGGGTCCGGACTGGGACTCAACCTCACCTGAACTGCCATAGACTCACCCGGACTTTTTCCGCCGAATTTCAATATGGGGCTCTGTCAACTCTCGTGCAATGAGAAGCTACCTGCCGAGAATCTACGTGGGACTTGGATGATCCAGCAATATGGTAACTTCTGACATGGCTCTGGGGACCCCGGATTGGGGCTGACACCAGCCTCATCCGGACTCATGAGCCTAACCTCACCTGACTTGCTATAGACTCACCCGGACTTTTTCTGCCAAATTTCAATACGGGACTCTGTTAGCTCTCGTGCAATGAGAAGCTACCTGCCAAGATTCAATATGGGTCTTGATGTCCCAGTAGCACGGTAGCTTCCCACATGGCTCTCTAGTGACCCCAGAGTTGGGCTCATCCGGACTCACTCATTCACTCGGCACCTGTGCTCATGAGGTGGTCTCCTGCTGGCTTCATCCTCGTTATCTGACCTCGACACGGAATGTGATGAGAATAGAAAATGTGACGAGCAAGCGTTGCTGGATATATGGAAAGCATATGGTGACAAGCAACGGGAACGATTCACTGATGATTCGTCTGTATTTCAATCGTTCAGGTGTACATACTTTTGCATTGAGCGAATGAAATTTATCACCCTATAGCCATTCAAATATAAGGAGAGTACTCGTGACTACGAGTTTTCATATCTATATCTACCTCTCTAAGAGACAGCTCAGATACTGAAAAGTATATCTTGCAACCGAAGCAAAAGCTATCTATCTAACTGGTAATATTTCCTTTTCTACGGTCTATTTTCGCAGATTCGATACGAGTCCCCGCACTGATTTGGCAATTGCATGACGGCCGTCCCACACAGGGTAGATCACCACAGCAAACAGGGCAAAGAATTGCCAGATGATGGCGACCGTCGTCCACCCGGTGAAGAAGGAGCGCGTAAAGATGTAGTCGCGGTAGAGCGGCATGGGCCACACGACGAACGTGATCAGGACGATGAAGATCAAGACCCCTACAGCGATGTGGAGCCATTTGCGCAGATATCTCAGTGTTGCCTCGTCAAATGGGTGCACGACATGATCCAAAGAGCCTGTTGTTGCTGCTGCGTTGTTGGTTTTCGTGACTCGTCGGGTCCTTGGTTCCTGGTGCGCCGCCTTTTCTGCTCTTTCCCCTTTCTCAGTTTGTGCTTCATTCAAGACTACAACGCTCTGTGAGGAATGCGGCGTCTCTGATTCGGCTGGAGTCGAGATCTCGGTTTCCGACTCGTCCTCGACCAGGTTAATCCGTAGGAACTCCCGCCAGTCAAAGGTTTGCGGTCGGATGTACGAGATGATCACGGAATACAGAATCGGGGAGAAAAGAGAACCAACACTGCCGTACAGCGACGGCGCCTGCGCAGATGTGGTGTCGATAGAGATCTTCCCGTAAAGGGAATATGCCGTGCCCAGCCAGATGGAGACCCCTGTTATCAAACCGAGGATGGGGGACACAATGGCTGCTAACCGGGTCTGGCCGGACCAGAAGAGCGTCATCATCAGTGGGAAGATTCCCGGACAGGTGAGGATGGGTGAGAAGTAATTGATCCAGTTCATGTTCGCCCCGCCGTAGTTCAGAGCGAGAGCGAACCCGGCTATGAAGATCCCATGGAAAACGACACCCAGATGGCTGACCCGGACAACTTGCCGATCGGTGGCTTTCGGGTTGATGTACGTCCGGTACACATCGAAGGAAATGATACTGCTAACGGCAATCATGGATGACGAGACCGTGCTCGTCACGGCCATAAAAAGAAGTAACAGTATCCCTACAGTGGCGCCATTTCCCAGAAGCGCCTTGACCGTATAGGGCATAACCATTCCCGAATTAATCTCGGACGCATTAAGAGACTTTGGGTAAGTGGGAAAGATAGGCAGATCGTTGACCACTCTCGCGCTGAGACCGATGACGGTCCCCAAGCCCCAGGGGACCGCAAAGATAGCCAAAGCCGCGAGATCGTAACCAGGAACGGTCGAATGTACTTCAGACGCAAATGACTTTTGCCAGAATGCGGTATCCTGAGATTGTCAGTCTATTCCATTCACAGACGCTTTATCGAAGTACCAACCATCGTGACTAAGGCAAGATTGCCAAATTTCAGAATAAGACCAAACATCATCGCCCCTTTGGATTTAAAGGTCAGGAGAGAACCAGCGTAATTTCCATCGATGTAGTAAGTCCCCGCCTTGGCCATCAGCTTATCGTACAGGCCGTGCAAGCCGCCGATATGTTCGTTGGCGAGAACCGAAAGAGTGAAGTAGATAATCAGGATCAGAGCAATCGTGGTGTGAAGGAAGTCTGTGAGGAAAGTGGCTTTCAATCCTCCTACAGCGGTATAGAGCACGACTGGAGATTCAAAATATTAGGAATATTTCTTCCCGGCAAACAATGAAGAGAATTGCATGTAACGTACCTCCAAAAGGTAGGAGAATCGTTGCAGCTGCCAGATGCATGCCCGTGATGCCCGTGACCAACTGAGATCCGGCCAGAATCATGCTCGAACATCCGAAGATATTGTTAATCAAATTCAGAACCGTGAAGACAAAATGCCCCAGATTGCCATAACGCCTGCGAATGATCTCGAGGGAGGTATGAGCATAAGGCACCCGGATCTTCGCCAGCACACCCAGGACGGCCATCAGAGCGATCTGGAACGACAGACCAACACCCCACCACATGGGCACCGCGATCCCATATTCGTAACAGTATACACACGCGAACACCGTCTCGTTAATCCACATCCAGGAGGAGAACACAGCCGAGCAGGTAAGGCCGGTGCCGACGGAACGATTGGCGACCATAAACATTTCCGATTTGCCCGAGTCTTCCATCAAATACAGCTTCTGTATCTTGACTGCCGCCAGAATGATCAGCGCGAACAAAATTCCCAGACCGATGATCATTCCATAGCCGGTCCCTTGAGAAAGGAGGCTGATGCCGTCACCAACGTCAACCATTTTGATCGTTCCTCTCCCCTTGGGGCCAGGAAAGACGATGGATATACGTCGGTGTACTTGTCCGGTCCAGGCCTCTTGCAAAAGGACAATTTTGGATCAAAGAGCTTCCAGAGCCCTTTTGGGAACGAGGAATGATTGCGATGGACGTTATCATTATATGTCCCGGCAAGCATGTCGGCTCTTCATCCGAGCCCAATTCTTTCTGAGAGTGCTGCAAAGAATCCATGATAACTCCGATTGGAGACACAGGACACGCGATATCGACCGTCTGGTATATTGAGATTCAGAGCCTTATCTCCTTCCTTTTCGGCCTTTAGCGGTCTGCTGTTGTCTCCAATTATAGGGAAAGTTGGGCTCCATGCGCATGGTGTCATTGTGGATCCTGATCGAGTGTCTTGTGTGCTAGTCACTGCCGACCTACACCGGCAAGAAAGAAAATGTTAGCAACTCAGCAGCAAATGGAGTGTTGAAATGGTGGTAAGTGACGGGCACGGATGGCGTGCTTCGAGGTCGAAATGATAGAATGTGGAGAGCCATTAGACTTAAGTAATCACGGAGGTAATCCGAGATACCCTGACTTGGATGCCCTGCGTTGTTGATATTAATATTAATGAAAGGCACAGGCATGTCCATAAAGCTAAGATACAGTTCAAAATCCCGATAGTTCTGGTTGGTTGCAACCCCTCTGAGGGAAGCAGGTGACGCAGATCCTTCCAGGAAGGAGCTAGTCGTCATCACGTCATTCATCGCACTTTCCATCTACAGATAGACAAATCTCCAACGATTGCTTCTTTCTTCATTCGGAATACGGAGTACGAGTATAACTATCCGGACTTACAATTGGTCTCTTCCTTAACTCGACCATACGGAGTACGATATGGTTATAGTAATTGTATTGAATAAGCCTTGATGTCTGGATATTGGTGAAGAATAAGCCTCGTACAAAAAATTCCCTAAAAACTTTGGTATGCCATAAAGAATAGCAACATCTCACAGCGCTACCATTTTCTTAAATCTATTGTTTACAAGAGCGGCTGCTGGTAGATCTCAAATTTATGACTCGTTTCGGTATACAGAGCATAATTTAAGGTGCTGCGGAACCGGCCCGCCTTCCGTAGTTTTAGCCTTCAAGGTACCAGACCGCTGGAGCCAATATCAATTTGGCCTACGTACGTTAAGCTCGAAGGAATGATGCATGCAGAACGTTCAAGTTATTGCTGGCTATACAATCTTTAAAATAATCCCAGTAACTCGTTAGAACTCTACATAATGACAAACGAGTCCCAATTTTGGACCATGTTAGATGAGCTCTGTCTTGAACAAATTTATACCCAGGGGTAGACCTTCCAAGTTACTGTCATGCCATAACAGAGACTGACTATGATGTATTCAGAGGGAGGAAAGAAGCCAACAGGATCCCTCTTACGGTAGCTGAATCTAAAACCGTATGGTTGAAGATTTTATTACGCATAAATTATTCATATTTATTTGTACGATTCTCTTGGAAACTGGTCCAGAAATGATATCTGGGACTTTGTACTTAGTAATAATATAGGAGAATCTAGTTAAGCTTGTCTTCCGCGGAGTCTGCTTCCTGTAAACAGTTTCTTGCAGTCAGCAAACAGTAGCCCTAAGTAGGGGTGAGAGAGGTTTAATTTGACGATAATCAACCCCCATCTTGCTCCAAAGCTGAACAAGTCTGTTTTCGAAGTCAATCCATTCCTTCTGCTCTTCCGTCAATCTGTCTGGATAGAAGGTCTGTGCTTGGTCAAAGTCGAGCCAGATGACCCTTTCATTTGGGTCGTCTTTGATGACCATCATATTTCAGGGATGGGGTCACTATGCTCGACTAGAGCTTTGTGAATTTCTCTAATGCCGGTAATAAAATCCTCCATGCTTTTTTGGCATAGTTAGGCATCTCGTGGAGCATCTCCATGTTGGGGATATATTCAAGAAGAATGGCGCTGGGCCGGTTCTGGTCGTGTAGAAACATCTTCAGCTCAGGGTCGATATGTTCTATGGTTCCATAGAATTGGTCTTGGCCTGTTGTAAGTGTTGATCGCATACTTGACAGGCCTTTTGCAGATGGAATGGCCCAGTACAGTTTCTGGCGAATTGTTGCGGAATGGAGACGCTTTTGGAGATACCTTTGTCACTCGAGCACCTTTCGTTTTCTGTACAGGATCGCTTCGCCAGTATCACTGGCGTCTTCTATGCTAGCAGGATCTTGTTTGATCTCCGTGTGGAGACTTTTTTTTTTCTAGGGCGTGCTATTGTTGACAGTGCTGGATTATTGGATATTTTGTGTCGAACAGTCGAGGATAGGGGCGAAAAAGAGTTTGTTAGATAGAGTGCTATCGACCTGAGCATCAATTCTGGAAATAGTAACTGAAGTTGTATCCTTGTCTCACTAGACGACTCTAGGCGCTTATCTGCCACGTTCTGTTGGACATCGTAATCAGTGGGCCGCAAAAACCTCATTTCTTGCAGAGAAGAGTTCGCTTAATTGTCTCATGTCTGGAAGTAATAGCACAAAAGGAATCGTGATGAATGCGTGTTCTGTCTTCTGGAGTGATCGTCAGAACAATTCCTTGTTGTTATTGGCAGCTACCTGCAGCCGCGTCGCGCAGGTTAGATGGCAGTAGCCTACTCGCCTCATTTGATGACTCCACACAGGCAGTTTGATTAAGCTGGGGAGAATATCGTTCTTGGATGCGGCGCCTAACCTTGGAAGCCGCCTGCGCCTTCTGTTCATCTTAATCGCTTCTGCCGCCAATAGAATGAGAACACAAAAACCGGGACTGTTCCATTTTGTAGACGCAACATGCTGTACCTATTATTGGTGACTCTACCTACTCCACTTGGAGGGGTAAACTGTACGCCCTGTCGTCATAGTCTCCTGTGTCAGTCCGATGGGGAATAGAGAAGACGGCAAAGCGTTTGACCTCGCACAGCAGGCGATTGTGATTGGAAGGATTTGCCTGTGGAAATAATCGACGCAGGCTGTGCGTTTGGCAGTCTTGAGGCCCGACCTGCGAGTGGCACAGGACGCAGAGCATCGCGAGGGGGCTGGCCCGACGACGATCAATCAGCCCAACCGCGGAGCCGCTTCAGGTTCCGATCTGTTACCACGACTGGAAGGCTACAGAGGATACACAGTACGGTTCACAGCAATGGCAGCAGAAGCTCTTGGGCGATCTATCTACTAGCCTGTTTCATACGGAGTGCAGTCAAGCAGGCATGGCCCCCTGATCAGGCTGAGCAGGCAAGTCGCAGGCAGTCATTCCCCTCCCCCGCCACGGCGCTCAGCTGGACGACTCGCTCGCGAGCCACGCTACTCCTCCACCCGCCGGCGGCAGCCCAGCGTTGTCCCGTGCCAGTCAGTCAGTCGGCCGGTCTGTCAGGCTGCGTCGAGAGAAAGGCCTGTGACAATCGTTTTTCTCATCATCCGTTCTTTATCTTCTTCCTCGTTCCATGCGCCCTCCATCTATCTATGCTATATAGTTCCCAGGTGACCCATCACTAGCCATTTTTTTACGGATATCCCTCTGATCAATCCCTCTCACCCACTGTTTTTTAAACCTTTGGACTGTAACCGTCCGATTCCTCCATCCAGACGCTCTCGATCGGCGGTGGGAAGAGCAGTCCCACAGCCTCACAATGCACACTTTCGATATTATTGACTCGGATTCCGAGTTCGAATCCGACGTATCCTATGATCGCCCTCGAAGGCCCACGATCGTCCGACGACGCTCATTTTCACGGCGTCGTCGAAGCAGCCCAGACTCCAACTCGTATCTGAGCCCCGATGTCATCCAAACCGTCCACCGCTCCGCTTCGACAGGCGGCAGGCGCAGGAGAGACCCCACCGTGGTGATCAATAACGACATCAGAACTAGGCAGATGCACAAGGAACGTCGAGGCCGTCCCCTCTATAACGAAGTCGATGAATATGACGAGATCGACATCCTCCGTCGCGGGCGCCCGCGTGCCGGCAGCAGTCTCTCCCGCACGTCCTCTCCCCACCATCGCGACTGGGAACTGCTGATGGACCAGCGACTTCTGGAAAGGAATGACAGGCGTCAGGATATCGAGCTCATGAAACACAGACAAGAACTCGAGCGGCTAGAGCGACAGTTCGCCAGGCGCCACGAACACGCCCGCGAGCCTCGCTTTGAAGACTGGGAAGACGAGCTGATCGAGAGACTGCGGAAACTCGACCGGCTGGAGAGGTCGAAACGGGCGGAAGACGACCGCCTGCTCGCTGAATATCGGGAAAAGGTGAAGAAACTGGAGGAGATGGAGAGAAAGGCAGCCGAGGAAGAAGAGGCCAGGCGTCTGGCCCGCGAAAAGTACCTGAAAGAGCTCGAGAAGAAAGAAGCCCTCCGGGCCGAGAAAGAACGCATCAAGAAAGAGCTGCGAGACGAAGAGGCCCGGAGACTGCTGGAAGAGGAGGAACGCAAGAAAGAACTGGCCAAGATCAAGGCCGCCGCCGTCGAAGAATACAAGAGGGCCGAGGAGGCCAAGAAGCTTCGGGAGATCGAGGAGAAGGAAAGGAAGGACAAAGAATTCAAGGCCCGACTCAAGGAGGAATTTGGCTGCTCTGAGGAGCAGCTCGAAGCCCTGATCAAAAAGCAAAAGGAGAAGGACAAGGACAAGGAAAGGGAAAGGGAAAGGGAAAAGCCCCATTCGCCTCCAGAGCCAACCACGTATATCAAGGTAAGTAACGAACGTTCATTCACGCAATCTGGCAAGGAGCTAACCACCGTCCGTTTTTCGCCTCCAGGTCCACCGCAAATATCTCCTGCCTGAGACTCTGATCGCCTACCGATTGCCATGGGACTGGGACGAGGTGAGTCCTTTTCCTTTCCGGTGTGCTTGTAATGCGCTCTCGCTGACCTGTCCTCTTTCAACCGGAACAGCACGACAGCAACTACATCATCATCAAGACCTGGATCTCCGAAGACTTCCAGGAAGAGCTCTTCGCGCACACGCGGCGCCTCCGCGAGGGCAAACTCGTCTCCGAGACCTCATCCTCCTTGACCGAGTTGAAGGTCAACGACAGAAAGAAGGACAAGATGTACCTGGTCCGGAAGAAGAGCCCTCGACGGGCTTGGATCTTCACCTAAGTCTCGATCAACCACATCAGCGGTCAGCGTTTGACGAGAGAGAAATCTCCTTCTCAACAATACCCACTCCTCTTCAATTTTTGTTCTTCTTCTTCTTTTTCTTTTCTTTTCCCAGCAAGTGATGATTCCCTACCGACTGCCTTTGTTGGGACAGAGTCACAGAGATTGGTGTATATCCTTGGGACTGCATCGATTTCACTTGGATAACGTGCCTGTTGATGTCGTTGATGTTGATGATGACGACGAATCCGGTTTATGAAGAGCAGACTGTCATATCATGATTCATGGATGGATGATCTTTTGTTTTTTCCCCAGTTTGTCTTGTTTTGGTCGGTATCTTTCTTTTCTCTTCCCTTCCCCCTGTCGAATGCATTGCAATGATCATGATTATGATATGAGAAAAAAAACTTTTTATGTCCCGAACGAGTCAATCTGTGGTTTGTGTCAGTGACTTGCGTTTTTGTTTTTTGTTTGTTTGGCAGATTGGGTCCATTTCATTTCATTATCATTATCTCGAGCGGATTATTCGTTTGGAGTAGCGATGGTATATATATACAGAACACTAGGCAGGTATTCAAACGAGCAAGAAGAAACAGAATATGGAATGCATGCCTTGAAGTGTCTTTTTTGGTTGCCTGTAACCTCCGTAGGATCTTGTAATGTGCTTTCTCCGCCCGTCGTCAGTTCTAAGCTTACAGACTGATTCCATCCTGGACCGACCACCTTCTTTCGGCACGCAGGATGAGTTCCTCGTAAACCGTCCAGGCCAGTGCGGAACTGAGGGCTTTGCGAGCCATGCGCAGACCCAGCCCACTGAAGAGGCTGCGGACACCGTCCTCGCGGACCATCAAACTGACAGCACGCACCATGTTCCGGTACTTCTCCGGACGCAGCTGCAGCCGCGTCTTGACGGCGTCGAAGGGATTGGTGATCGCCGTCGCCAGGCCGGCCGCAAAGGCCCCCGAAGCGAAGTTGATCGTCGAAGACGATATCGGAAGCTTGTTATCTGACGATGAGGAAGAGCGGCTGTCGACGATCCCGGACAGATTTCGTTTAAACTGCTCGTAGAACAAGACGTAGAGCCCTGCGTAAGGCGCATCCCGCACAGCTGTGGCCCCAAACCCCGTGAAGAGACCCTTGACGCCCTCCGTCCGGACGATATCCCGCCCGGCACCCAGCAAGCTGCGGTAGGCATAATAGTCCGACTCGTACCGCACCTTCAGTACGGTCACAGGCATCATCACGAAGCCTGCTGCAACCCGGGCGACGGCGCCGGTGACGAGGTTCGCGGTATGTGAGAGCTTGGGCAGCGCGGATGAGGAGTAGCCGTTCCCACGGTTAGCAGCATTACTATCGGCCAGAGCGATTGCAGGACCACGTTGCGCGACAGCTTGGCGGAGGGCGTTGAGGGAGGTGAAATACAGCGCCGACCCGAAACCAGTTCGGAGGGCGGAGGGAAGCGTACCGCGCCATAGACTGCGGACGGGGTGAGGAGAGGAGAGAATAGATCGGATGGTCGGGAGGAGAGACGCAGTCTGCCGGGATTGCTGGACGCGGGTCTTCAGCAGGTCAGCGGGCTGAAGGAGGATGGAGGAGGTCAGGCCGGACAAGAGCCCTGCTAGGAAGTGGAACGTAGTCTTGGAAGCTGTTGATAGTCCGTCAGCCAGAGGGACAATTGGAACAATGGCAACGTTTCGAGTAGAACAAAAAGAAGAAAGACGTCGATACTCACACGTCGAAGTCTTCCCATTAGACTGCGACGACCCAGAGAGGGTAGAGACATGAGACATAATAAAATCTTGTCAGGGTAGCTCTGCAGGGAATAAATGCTACAGAGCAGATCAGAGCACAACACAGCAGAGCGCTATTATTATCAAATTTTGTTCCCAAAGGTCTGGACAGTCAAACGCAGCCAGCGGCAGAACTTGTGTGTTTCACCACAACATCATGAACAGCAATGACGAAAGTAAAGGTAGAGAAATAAAAAAGACTATATAGATATAGAGATGGTAGCAGTTCAATTTATTCGTGTCCAAGAACAGAAGACGTATCCCAGGCACATTCTGCAGAGCACAGCAATGGGTGGAAATTTGAATGGCGAGACGAAGGGTCTAGCAGTCTAGAGCGACAGATAGCTCCGCGATGGTGCTGGAAAAACACGGGCGATGACTCGAGGAGATTGACAGCTCTGAGGTCATCGTCCGCGGGCCCTCTGGCCGCTGATTGGCTGCGAGCTGCGGAGGACGGAGAAGTTAGGTAAGAGCGGTCGGCAGTGCGTGACCTGCCATTGGAATGCAGGAAGTGCCTGTTTTGGGAAGACCAGAAGATCACGAGAAGTGCGTTACAAAGATTCCTAGATATGAGAATAGAATCACCGGAAGCAGCCATGTGGCGACGTAGTTCAAACAAAGCAGGTTTCTCTACAAATCTTGGGTGGAGACCACAGAAGATACTTCTTAGTTACGACACACGGCTATACTCGGAGAACAACAGCAGCATTCCTCAACAGGATCGCAAAGTGTGCATTTGAAGGCATGTAGCTATTATCAGTTATCGCATTGCGATGTCAATAATTTCATTTCATTGCGTATCATAAATGGATGTCACTATCCCAGTCAAACTTGCAAAAGAGTGAGACGTTTCCATTCAGTATCAGGAGATTTCTTTCATCGTTCGCGATTAGCATTCACCGCCTTTTGGCTGACGACATCAAGCCGATTCTCCAATTAATTGACAGTATGGCATATATATACTACCCTGAGCCTCCTCAGTACTGCATCGAAGCGCGCAAGCGATTGTAGTCCCTCTGGGTGATGGGCTTGTATTTCGCAGGATTTTCCTCACTCATACACGCCGGAAGACACTCGATAACAGAGTCTGGATCCGGAGAGAGGAAATAAGGGATCGAGTAGCGTTCACGGGTCATACGGTTGGGCCCTTCAAAGCGATCACTGACGGGGGGAAGCCCGACCCGGTGGTTTGTCGATCGAAGATAATCTGCGTCTTGTATTAGCTTTATCTCATGACCGATTGGGAGCAGACAAACTATACCATTACTCCACCTCTGTAGCAAGTCTCCCACATTCATGACGATCGCGTTCTTGATCGGCTTTGCGGGAATGAATCTCCCCGGTCGAGACAGGTCTTCGACCTCCAACCCGCCGCAATCATCCTGGAACAGCATGGTCATTGAGCTCCAGTCAGTATGCGCCGGCATGCGTGCCATTTTCTGGCTCTCCAGCGCCTCCGCGGGAATAGAAGGATAGTGAAGCAATCGGAGCTGGTTATTATGACCGGAATGCTTCTTCAGGAGGTGGTCCTCATCTTCCAGTCCAATGCCCACCGCCAGGGCACGCAAGATGTCTGACGCTGCGGCAAAGCACTCCCAGTAGAATTTGGTCATGAAGGCTCTGAACCCTGGCAAGACCTCGTCGGGGATCCACTGGTTGGGCTGGTCTTTGTTCTCGTCACTGCCCATGTCATAACTCTCCTGCCCAAAGTCAGCTTGGGGGCAACAACGGAAAGAGTTAGAGAATAATCCACCGGGGCAAGGAGAATATCCTGCTCAGACGTATGCAGATGTCATCTTCTGGGAAAAGAGTGATCGCTCACTTTGCAATCCGTAATCTCCCGCAGCTTCTTTATCCGCTCCTTGTCATCTCCCTCACTCATGGCCGACGATACTTTTTCCAGACCCGGCCACGAATATCCGCGGTGGACAGCCCATCCCTCCGGGTGTGGTGCCTTCAGCTTGTCTTCCTGGCTGAGTGCAAAGAAACGTCTCGACCATTCGAAGGCCTCGTCAAGCAGGGAATCCGGCAGGGCATGGTTCACGATGTACACAAACCCAACCTTCCTGCAGGCATCCACGATCTCCTTTGCAACTTGCAGCCGAGCAGCTTTGTCATCGGTCTTCCAAGCGGAAAAATCAACGATGGGGATTTGAAACGAAGTGGGAGACCCATTGACGGTCCCGCTCGAGCTCCCATTGGTGATGGGTTCTTCAGACATTGATGATGTGCAATGGCGTTGTTTCTGGACAATATAGGAAAAAGATACTCGTCAGGCCGCGCGTTGAGCTGCAGACTGGTTCTAGAGTTGGTGATCCTCGAGGTTAATATCTCAAGACGAGCCCACTCTTGAACACCTTCAACGGACTGATAAGCCATTTTCTACTATCTGAGTCGAAGAACCCATTCGCTCCAAGTCCAGCTGATAGCCAGGATGAACTGCCGTTCCCCGCACAGCAATGCAGACTGGCAACCCCACCATATGATCTCGGAAATCTGCCGCGGTTCTGATAAAAGTCTCGGGTAAATAAACGAGCCTGGCTGTACACCAGTAATGGATTGGAAGCGCCATTTTCGATAGCTTATGTCGTGGTGAACCGTACATCAAGTGCATCGCAACTGTGACTGCATGAGAGGACAGTCATCAGCGGATATACCTAAGTGGTACGGAGTAATCTATACGGCGTAGTTACTGGCGTTTTCCGATGGATGCCCCGATAAGCAACCATTCCTTAGTTAGCGTGCCCGCTCTAGATTGCCCTCACGTGGAGTACTCCAGATAACCGATTCCACAGCATTCGATCGATTATTGAATTTATCCAGGGTTAGCCACGCTGCTGTGCGTCACAAATCAAATGAGTTTAATAATCAAAGTCGTTGACTAGTGGCTGAGGTTGGGCATTATGTTTCGTGTTCTGCAGGACATGGGGGTGCGTTGCCGTGGCAGGGGCGAGGTGGAGACCTGCGTTGGCAGCGCCATGCATCATCGTCTTGCGGTTCTCGATTATTCAAGTACTCAACGAAGAACCGCATGAAAATTCCAGCTTGTATCGATGAACGGCGCCTCTTGAATCATGTAAGTGGTTTCTAAACAACCGGATGTCCAGGAACAACAGCTGATGCGACTGTCTCTTTTCGCCAGTATCGGCCGGTTTGTTGACATCGCCAGGCTGTGGTACACTTTGAGCACGAGGGTGACTTCTCCGATACGCTGTCGCATACGAACGGTGTTCCAACTCCACCAAATGGTTATCCTACAGCATATATACTGAAAGCGTCTGGCAGCCAGAAGGGATCACCCGCAGGTTGCAGCCTCGTGCCGCAATAATGAAGCAGTCTCTGCTTGTCTTCACGGTGCTCTTCATCTCGTCAGCAATATGTACGGAGACCTCGCCGTTCCTGCCACCTCTGAAGAACGAATCCATCAGTAAAAGAGCCGCTGATGCTCTCCGAATCTTGAAGCGTCAAGATAATTGCCCCTCTGGATACAATGGCTGTTCCAACGAGGGCAACTCCAACATCTGTTGTCAGAGTGGGACCATATGTACTCACGATGCTGCTAACAACATCGCCTGTTGTCCCACCGGCGCAAGCTGTACGGGATCTCTCACTGCACCCACGTCCACCACCAGCGGTTTCATGTTCCCCCATTCCACCTCCGCCTCCACGACATCGACAAGCGCCGATGCCACCATCACTGGCTCTACCGTCCCTGGAGCCCCATACCCCTTCGTGTACATCCCAACCACTTTCGCAAACGCTGCGACATGCTCTTCCTATTACTCTCAATGCCAGTCAGAGTTCTCGAGCTGCTTGGTATCTCTGGGGGGAGCGTACGGAGTGACGGTCGCAGGAGCTGGAGGCGCAGGTGTGACGGTACAAGGCGGGGCGGCAGTTACGCCGGCAGCGGCAGCTCAATCGATCTGTTCGAGCCTGAGTACGAGGGCATGTTACGGATTGGAGGAAGGATATTGCACGGCTTTTGGGACGGCGAGCCCGACTTCGACTGGTGGAGTATTCATCAATCCCTCCAGCGATGCATCGAGGCGGTCATCCAGCCTCTATGATCTAGCAATTGCTCTAGCTGCTGGAATCGGCGGCATGTTTTTGTGAAGTGAATGATCGACTTGCCATGCTTTCCTGACTGTGATGAATCATGAGTGAACATGACTGGATGATGAAGGGAAACGTTTGATTGGCTTTCTTTTTTGCCCTGGCCACACTTTTCCATGTCCTCTGGAGTGTATATCTTTTTTTTTCTTGAATTTTGGGTCATTTCTTTGTCTATATACGCCAGTTTTCTGTATCTGTGGTCTAACGACGGGCAGCGGTTGGAATGAAACCAGCCGCCTCTAAAGTGGATGATCAACTGTCTGGCATGCAGCAACCACTCGGAATGTGGATGAATATGCTTTCTTGCTTCTGTATAGTATTTATAAAAGATAGTGTCTCTCCCAGAAAGAAAGCCATAGCAATTCTACTACTACCTAGGTACTTCTGTGTTTACTGGCCTGCTTTATTGCGGTCTACCGGCTCAGGATCTAGCAAGACCCCACCAAACGATTATCACACAGTGGACCGACCATCCTCGCTATCGATGGAAGTACAGTCTTCAACTATGCTTTTCTTCGGACGCATGTTCACATACAAAAGAGAAAGGACATCTACTCATAAAGACGGTGTAACATAATAATGAAAGCGTCAGAGCAGGTATGATTGGCTCCGTCGCCAGGACAGCTATCGATAAGCTTACTGGCCGAGTGGGACGGGAACCGGCAACTGGAGAGAATCCAACGATGGACGGCGATCGACACGCTGAGCAAGCTGTAAAATGGAATTGAGTTTGACGAGAGAGGTCCAAGGTTGACGGGTGCAAAGATCGACTGTCGAGACTCGAGAGTTGTGCGGTGTGGCAGCCCACGGCTGGTTGGGTGTACATCCAGTCCCTGACCCAAGGCGGAGGTCCATCTGCAAGAGAAGTGACAATACGATGCAATCAACGGCTCATCGTCCACGGAAAAGCATATGCGGTCGGTCTGTCGGGCGAGAAGCCGGGCTGCAAGCCAAACGGCGCTTCGAGGCTATTCCACAGCTGGACTCGCTCTCCAGACTACTGCCGCCATGCAGGAGGGGCAGCAGGCCAACTCACAGGGGATTGCATCATGCAGTGACACGCTGAGCCCGTGCTAGGACTTGGAAAAGGAACTCATGTTCCCAGTCATTTTATTATTTTCTATTTTTCGCGGTCCTATTAACCCGATCTGGCTCATCAGGGAGACTGCGTTGCGTCGATTGGTGGGCTGCATGAAGAAATCGGGTGGTTGGGATATCGAGAGGCTGGGAGGTCGGCCGACCACCACCACGACAACGCATATCCCTCGCCCTTCTCGCCTCAGTGTTTTCCTTCCTCCAAAATTTTCCCGGTGATCTTTTTTAAATTCCAATTCCTCAAAAACGTTGAAATTGGGAATCTTCTCTCCTTCTCGCTGGCCGTGGTTGTTTGCGAGCGTGACGACGATCAAGAAACGGTGACAACGGCGTGGTCCCAGCAACCAGGACTGTTGTGCTGTTTCCAGCAGACCGATTGTTTGACCAGCAAGACACTCTCTGCGACAACTGGGGTCGCAATCGCTCCTCAATTCTTGATTCTACAGATTCAACGCAGCATACGGAGTAAAACCGCTATGCGCTCGTTTACAGTCTCTCCCGCATTGTCAATACTCGCTCTGCTCGCCGCCCAGACACAGCCGGTGCAGTCGACTCCCTTCCCACTCGAATATGACAATATCCTCGTGGACCGAGCCTGCGCCAACCCTTGCGGCTATTACGGCCAGATATGCTGCACCTCCACCCAGACATGCGGAACGAACAGCGCCGGGCAGGCTGTCTGTCTAGAAGATGGACAGTCTGGTGAATCCGGCAGTTCAGGTACATGGAAATACTACACGACAACCTACACGACAGCCGAACAAGTGACTGTCACATCTGTTTGGAGCAGCTACATCACGCCAGCTCCCACGAGCAGCGCATCGACCTGCCAGGTATCACTCGGGGAGAGTATATGTGGAAGCAGTTGCTGCAATGCTGCTGAAGTGTGTGAGAACGGTGTATGTGTTGCTGGGAGCTCATCCGCTGCTGTAATTCCCAGCGCAACACCTCCTCTGCGACCCACAAGCAGCGGTGCGGCCACTGTCACTGAGACCAGCGCGCCAACAACGACGATGCCCTTCATCGCCCCCGTGGGAACGGATGGAGCGACAGTCGTTGCCCAGGCATCTGGTCATGGTCTTAGCGGGGGCGCGATTGCAGGAATTGTGATTGGAACTATTGCGGGTGTGTTTCTGTTGCTTGCGCTCTGCTTCTGCTTCTGCCTACGAGGGGCGCTCGATGGGCTGCTGGCGCTCATCGGTCTGGGTCCGAGGAGGAGAAGGGAGACGACACACGTTGAGGAACGCTATTCCCACCATGGTTCCGAGCGGCCTGAGAGAAGGACCTGGTTCGGCACTAGACCGTCTCGTCCGGAGGGTAGTGAGGGAGGGAAATCATCCGGTCTGGGGTTCTGGGGCACCCTTGCTCTGATCGCCGGGGCGATCGCACTATGCCTGGGACTGAGGAGGCGCGAGAGTCGAGACGAAAAGAGCACCGATTATTACACAGACACGGCGTCTTATTCTTACTACTCTTACGGCGATAGTTATTATTACACCAGTGCGAGTAAGTAGAATTCCTGTCTTCCAAACCGTGTCAGAACTAACAATGAAATAGGCAGCGAGAGCACTGATCGACGGACACGAAGGACCCGAGATTCGAGGAGAACGCGCTCCTCGGGGAGAACTCGATCCCGTCGATGACAAAAACGGCTGTTTTTCTTCATCGTCCCTTCTTTATGGAACCGTTATTGAACATAGTTTGCATAAGCGATTGACGTAGCGCTGACTATTGTCTGATCGCTTTTCGGGAGTTATTTCAGGTGTATTTTTTTGTTTTTCCTTTTCATTTGCAAGGAACAAGATTCATTGCATTTGATTTCTTCATACCGAAAGACTGTAGCATGTCGGTATATACCTTCGAGCGCATGGGATGGCATAGGATGCGATGAACTGATGAAAAAAAGTGACGAGATGGAAATGGGAATCGGAACGGGAATAATAACGAGATGGACGAAGTCATGTATGCTATATTGAATGAATGAATGAGTGAATGAACAATAGATACATATGCCATGAATATTTAAACACATCTATTATTTCAAGCATTGTATGTATGTACTGTACAGTATACTGTCTTACTATGTCCTGATTCACAACAATGGGGCTTAATAAGAGGGCGTGATTTCAGGAACCTGGTCCCGTAGCTCAGTCGGTTAGAGCGTGGTGCTAATAACGCCAAGGTCGCGAGTTCGACCCTCGTCGGGACCATGTTTCTTTTTTCCTGTTCTCTTTGTATTCCGGGCTTCCTTTTTTAAGGCCTTTTTTTTACGCTGTCAGTGCATACGCATGTTCGTGCTTTGCAAATGTGGTTGGGATTGGTAGTGATGTTGCAAAGTGATTACCTTACGGATTGTGTAGACTTGGAATGGACGGCTGACAATATAATATGACCTTCCTAAGTGCATCATTTTTTTATGAAGGAAAAAAAAAGAAGAGGATTATACACGTCTGCTGCATGATCGCTGCTTCTTGGATTCCATGTGCTACAGTATCATTACAGACGGAGTTGTCACTTCTTGTACTGTACACGTAGGTTTCTCAAGGAGAATGTCAAATATATATATTCAGAAACTGTTACCACATACAAGGAACACGATGAATCCCGAACCAACATATGCTGATCATAAGCCCCCAAACCCTGGGGGTTGATCAGCTTCCATCTTCTCGTTGTCTCGGGCATTCGTCTACATCCCATGGAGACCGCTTACAGACGAACTAGGCGTTGACAGAAACACTACATGTTACTGGTAATTGGGATGAGCCTACCTCACCCATTTTTAATACCTTTTTTTTTTTCCGCCCAGAGGCAATCGAAACGCCAAAATCAATCCCACACAGACGCGGTCCCGATGCTACAAACTCATGGGTTATATATAATTCATTGGTGTATTACCACCGCACTTCCCAAGGCTTCTTCTCCCATCCACTGCATAGATTATTCCCGAAGCTATGAGCCCTAGAACGTATATATACACATGGTACTGAATGGGACTGACATGAGAATAATTGATAATGTTGCAAGGACAATTGAATTCATTGTTTTCCTCCTGCAGCAAACAGACAGATACACCTCGTCTCAAAAAAAAATATACATATCGATAACTGGAATAATCTATTTACTGTTCGCCCTGACCTCACCCTCACTCACGGGCACTAACAATCCACATAACCAGGCTAAAAGAATATAGAAAAAGAAAACGATACAAATGTCATCATCAATCCCACTGCTAAATCTGAAAGTTATAATAATGATTTATCCCCTCCTTGGATCTCAATCAATCTATTAAACCATGCACATATGCTCCAATCCAACCCTATCCAGGTTCATTCCACAGACTAACCCTGTTAGGGCTCAACTAGAGAGAACAAAAAAAAAACCCAAAAAGACCAAAGAAAAAAAAGAAGTACATAGCTAGGTGCTTCCTCCGTACATAATCTCCAAGCCCGGACGCTCCACCCACCTCCCAACGGTCCCGTAGCTCAGTCGGTTAGAGCGTAAGTTACCCAATATCCCTTCTCCTGATCCTCAGGACCTCGACCTCAATCTGAATCTCGCAGATTTGGGGTTACTATCAAAAATATCCATGACATATATCGCTAACCCTCCCCTTAACAGGTGGTGCTAATAACGCCAAGGTCGCGAGTTCGACCCTCGTCGGGACCATTGAGCTTTGTTTTTTTACTGTCTTGAAGTATAAAATGAATTGGATGTTGGTTTTCTTTTTAAAGTCTTCGCGGATAGATCGGTAGGCATGTATGTATCTGTCTGTCAGACAGTATTTAAGTAGAGGAGTTGGTTTCAATATTATTGTGTCTTAGAGGAGAATAGAATGCCCTTTTTTGGCTCCTTATTGAACAATTATTGACTGAACAATAAGAGGTGGGAAATCGATTAATCGACTCATTCATTTCCTTAATTGTGGGCTAGTATGTAGGGTTTTAGGTAAGTTTCTTTATTGAAGGTGGGGTTAGTAAAAGTAAAAAAAATGCTTTGCGTACCCCGCTTGTCGAGTACAGTAGGTAGCCAGCCAAGGTTTCCAACACAAAGTAGCTAGCTTACGGCTGCAAGAATAATAATAATAATACCTTGCAAGGAAAATAAGAGGAGAATAAACAAAACGAAAAGCAAGCTTTATCTCAAAGAGAAACCTTTTTCTTAGGAGGCAAAAAAGGAATAACACATGGTCCCGACGAGGGTCGAACTCGCGACCTTGGCGTTATTAGCACCACGCTCTAACCGACTGAGCTACGGGACCAGGTAAGTTGAAATGACTCTCAGAAAAATAATTCATGATAGTACAGAGGCACAGCAACGCTGCCCAGGTTTAACTTCGGAGAGTTTGGCAGTCTTTTTAAGAGAAGAAGTCGTGACTGCTGAGCTGTAGAATGATTAGTGCGCTGGATAAAATGCCTGGATCAAATAGTTGAATTCTGATAACCAGACTGCTCGCTGTGTGGCTGACGGTATGTATGTCTGTGCATCATAGTGACTGCTTCAGGCATGCATATTCGGGCTAGGGGCTCGGAAGTGAATAGTAACCAATTGTGCATCTGTGTTGATAGGTATCTATTATTGTTCTCTAAGAGTGGTTAATATTAATAATAATGCCTGAGGTCATTCACTGCTAAGTTTGCCAAGAAAATAACCATCAATAGACTGTCAAATGGACCACCAAAGGCTGCAAGAGCATTTGTCTCTTCGCCTGCATGGAAACTAAAATAGTAGAATCCATACGCAAATTAGTAGATGCTTGACAGATAGTAGACTCATAAAGTATGTCTGTATTTTCCGATGGGAGCATAGCCAAGCTTCTGCCAGTTTAATATGCAACTGCAGGAGCATGCTGCCAGCTGCCTGCATGCCTGGATATCACCCATTTCCTTGACCTGGCTGCACGCGACCCTACAATAGACATCAATGCCATTGTTCAACTTCCGCCCCCAGTCAGAGCAGCGACTACTCCGTACTAATAAGGCTCGTAACAGCGAGTCAGACGGCCTGGAGGTGCCAGATTGAGGCTAGACACGGGCGGTGGACCTCTTAAACGGATCGCCGGCTGGGCGCACGCCCCGCCTCATCCAGCCGTCGATTACACATCCCGAAACCCATTTTCTTGTTCCTAGACTCTCTTCATCCATCCTCGGTCGTCATTCGCTTCCCAGTCGGCCTTCAACAGGATCGAAACCCGCATGCCTTTAGCCAGCATTCTTCACCTCTGACTGTGTCCTATAGAGCCGGAAGCCTTCTGTCTGTTGCCACCCTTTTTGACTTGCTCAGGATACCTTCGATTTCCCCGAGTACACTTCGATCGATCGATCCTCTGCCCCATCCATCGCCATGCTCCAGACTCAGACTCAGCACGTCTTCTCTCACCAGCACCAGTACCCGCAGGCTGATCCTTCCTGGTTGCACCAGCAGCAGCACCACCAGGCCCAGCACCACCAGGCTCAGCACCAGACTCAGCATCACCAACAACACACTTCCCTGGCGGCTCAGCAGCATGCTCAGGCTCAGGCTGCCGCCGCTGCCGCCGTTGCAGCGCAGCAGCAACACTACAACCGCATGGCTATGGGTGGTACCGGCGCTGCTGCAGCGGCAGCGGCGGCAGGAAATCCGGGTCAGACGTCCGCCGCTGGCACTGCAGGGATGACTGCGGAGACCGGAGCTCTGACAACTTTAGACGGAATCAGCGAAGAGAACCGGAAAGTTTTCATATGGGTCGCCGAGTTGCTTGATCCGAATAGACGGGAGGCGGCGCTCATGGAACTCAGCAAGAAGAGAGAGCAGGTTCCGGAGCTTGCTCTGGTCATCTGGCACTCTTTTGGTACGTAGCTCCATCTTTCTCACCGTCGAGCAAAAAATAACGATGGACTGTCTTTGGAACATTTCAACTGACTATTTATCCAGGTGTCATGACTGCTCTGCTACAGGAAATCATTTCCGTCTATCCTCTGCTGAACCCTTCTCAGTTGACTGCTGCCGCCTCGAACCGGGTCTGCAATGCCCTGGCTCTGTTGCAATGTGTCGCTTCTCACAATGATACTCGCACTCTTTTCTTGAACGGTACGTGATGATAACGCCAAGTATAGCTGGATGATGCAGTACTGACTTGTAATGGAAAAAGCCCACATTCCTCTTTTCCTCTACCCGTTTCTCAACACTACTTCCAAGTCTCGCCCCTTCGAATACCTGCGCCTGACTTCTCTGGGCGTGATTGGCGCTCTCGTCAAAAACGATTCGTCGGATGTGATCAACTTCCTCCTCACCACCGAGATCATCCCTCTTTGTCTTCGCATCATGGAGACTGGCTCTGAGCTTAGCAAGACGGTGGCCATCTTCATTGTGCAGAAGATTCTGTTGGATGACATCGGTCTCGCGTACATTTGCGCTACCTACGAACGGTTCTATGCGGTGGGGACTGTCTTGAGCAACATGGTTACTCAACTCGTTGAGCAGCAGACGGTGAGACTGCTCAAGCATGTGGTCCGTTGCTTCCTTCGGTGAGTTTCCATCGTCCCCGCTCCACACGCTGCCATCGTCCCCCGACTAATGAATCCGTTTTGCAGACTGAGCGACAACAACCGTGCTCGTGAGGCTCTCCGCCAGTGTCTTCCTGAGCCCTTGCGCGATGCGACCTTCTCGTCGGTGCTACGTGATGACGCGGCCACCAAGCGGTGTTTGGCGCAGCTGTTGATCAATCTTTCCGACAACGTGGTCGACGGAAACCCTAATGGTGCTACTCCTGCTACTATGTAAAAGAATACTTGTTTGTTTCATCCGTTGGGTGCTTTATCACGACATGCATGGGACGGTTCACGGCGAAATGGGATTATAAGGCGTCAGAGAGATCGCATGAAACTGATTTCGGGTTTTTCTGGTGAGAGTCGTTGCGGCGCAGGGCCCAAGAGACCATCTCTTCATTCTGAGGTCGATGTCGAGGTCATTGGGACATCTCATCTGTACGTGATGTGTTCGATTTGTTCTTTTCTGTTATCAACATCTTCCTGGGACATCTTTTCCATCATTATTCGGTATGGGTCGTTTGGCTGGTGGTGCGGATCTGGATGGTCTGGCTTTCTTTCTATACTTGATTGGTTTCACATTTCCCTTTCGTTGCCCTGCATTTATCTGAATATTTTTTATTTTCCAAATATCATTTCCCCAATGACCCTGCCTGTCAGATAGAGATCGTCACTCGAGAGATACCAAGATCTATGCATGTTCTTTTTCCGCCGTCATGTCGTCCTTGTCGTTTTCTCCCTGATTGTTCAGTCTGTATCACATTTCTCATGCCTTCCTCTCGTTTTGATGTGGGATATATTGCACGAGTATACGACGATCAGCGAAATGGGGTATCACTGGGCGCCAGGCTCTGATATCTTCAGTTCGTTTTATCACTTTCTATTGTACTCTATTTCTGTTTAACCTCAATCCTGCCTCGTTTCTTTATTGAGGCCTGAATATCGTGGGCTGGAGACTCGGAGTGTTGGAAGGAACTGGCTTGTACGTAATGCAGTGTCGTCTAAAGTAACAGACAGTATAATAAACAATTTCATGGACTCTCATCCATCCCTCTCACTGGCATTCCATTTCGGGACTAGTTCGGATTCTCGCTAATATAACCGTATCCGGTCTAGCGCCTCCTTCACGCGACTCTTGCCGAGTCCCGAGTCTCGCCGGCGCAGCAGTCGGGCTGCCGTGTGGCGCGCTGAGCTCATTGCCGGCTTGCTACACGTCTTCCCGCTCCTCCCCTTGTGCAGAGCCGCAACGATCTCGTCGCGCCTGGACTTTGCCGCCCGCGTCAACGGGTCGCTGTCGTTGGAGGTTTGGTCGACAGCACGTTCCTTTGGCTGTATCTATTTATCGTACTCTCTCGACGTGCCTCGAAAAGGAAAATACCACCGACGCCCAGTGGAAGAGACTGAGATCCTACCCTTTGCTGCGCCAGTGGCGCCTCACGCTTTCTTTCCGCCGAGATGGTATCGCGAAAGCGTGGTCACTCCGAAATGGAGACCGCGCCCGAGCAGCAATCAAAAGAGCCAAGCTTGCTGGAGCGGCTCCGCAACTGCTGGGAATTCGCCTCTCTCATGCAGTACATTTTCACCTTTGGAAAGGTGGTCAAGATCGACGAGGACTTTGGTATCGAGGTATGTTGCATGATACATCTCTGCGCGCGGACCTGATAAATGCGGAGAGCGATAACCCCTCTCTCCGATATTCGTCTTTGTCCTCTCCACGCCGTTGACAGCTATTCCATTACTGTGGTACAAACTGACGTGTTCTCAATCGCAGGATTTGGAGATGGAATGCCTCAAGCCTGGCCCGTCGGAGAAGCTCCTTGAGATCGGATTGTGTCTGCTCAAGTTCGTTTCGTCGCATCGCGGGTTGACGTATGTATTTTGTGTCGCTGCCATGTTCAACGCTGGGATAGGCTAACGGAGAGCCACATTGGGCGAATAGGGCGGAAAATTTCGACGAGTATACACGGCGTCAGTACAATGCGAAGGCACCTCATCTTCCTAACCCCTTCGGATACGACGAGCAGCCCAAGAGGTTCATGGATTTTGACATCTTTCTGAAGCTCAAAGTGCTACACCAGCTGTCGGTGTGGACGTTTTGGAACCCGGAACGGATCAGGGAGAAGATGCCCGAGCAGCGAGAAATTGATCAGACACAATGGGTGCGTTTTCTGAATGAGGTGTTATTTTGATATTATTCGAAGTATTTCGCTGACAAAATGCACAGCGCATTGAGGAACTTGGATACGATCGCGAGGATCGCCTTTACTATGTCTTGGATGACAACCGACTCTATCGTCGCACCGATCCCCCCATTCCCCCACCTCCCCCTCCGAAGCCAAAGGCGAATACCAAGAAGGCGAGGGCTGCCGCGAGAGCTGCCAAACGAAGAAAGCTTTCGGAAGCTGCTGAAGCCAAGGAGGAAGAAGCTGAGGAGAAGGGCACCGCACCCGAACAAGAATCTCACGAAGACACGTCCGGAGGGATAAAGTGGGAATGCATCGCTGTTACGCTTGCTGATTACCAACGGTTTATTGACAGCATCCGCAACACGAGAGACCCCAACGAGAAGATCTTAAGGGATCGTCTCATTCAAGAGGTCCTGCCAGTTATTGAAAAGATCGAAGAAGCTCAGCAGCGGAAGAGACAAAAGCAAGAGAAGGAGCTGTTGAATATGCAGCTCCTCGCTTCGGCTAAACGGTCTAGCCGGATTGCTGACCGACTAGAGAGAGAACGACGCGAGAGAGAGGAAGCGGAGGCAGCTCGCAGACGTGAGGCAGAGTTGGCCGCCGCTCGTAAGGAGCAAGAGAGACAGAGAAAGCTGGAGGAAGAACGGCAGCGTCGCCTCATGACACGCGAACAACGGCTCAAAGAGCGGGAGGAGAAGCGTAAACGGCATGAAGCAGAGATGGCCCGGCTGGAAGAGGAACGGAAGAGACTTGAAGCCGGCGAGAGCAGACTCTCGGAGAGACACCTTAAAGCGGAGATGGAGAGGCAGAAGAAGAGCTTGGAGGAGCTTCAAGAAGAGCACTGGTTCTTTGATTGTTCCGGTTGTGGCGTTCATGGAGAGAACCTAGTAAGGGCCGAATGAATGCAGTTTTTTATTGACTGTTGCTGACGTTTCAACAGGATGACGGCACTCATAGTGTCGCTTGCGAGAGATGCAACGTCTGGCAGCACAGCAAGTGCCTGGGTATTCCCCAGGACGAGGCGGAAAAAGACGATTTCCACTTCATTTGCGCTGACTGTCAACGGCGTGAGGAGGAAGCGAAGCGCCCAAAGCTTCCTCCCCTGAAGTTCCGCATAGGTTCGTCGGCATCGCCTTCGGCACCGGCCACGAATCCAGATACAGCTAAGGAGGAAAATCAAAGTCCTGCGAAGAAGGTGTGCAATGATGCTAGCGTCGAGGAAGCCAAACCGGCGGCTGGTCCGAGTCTGGAGTCGTCTGTACCGGCTCAACAACCTGATCCTTCTCCGAACGGTGTCCAAGCTGCGAACCCTCCCCCATCCCCTCAGCGTCGTGATCAGCCAGTGAATGGCAGCTCCGAGCAGTCATCTGCTCCCTTCGCAGCTCCCCCTTCGCCGTCCAAGGCCGCAGTCGGTCCGGCCTCATCGCCGTCAAGCCATCTGCCTAAGTCCATCGTTAATCAACATCAGCCTCAGCGGCCCTCTTCTTCTCATTCCACCCACAGCCAGGCTGTCCCGTCACCTATCCAGAACCGTCCGTCTATGTCGCCGACACAAGGAAACCGGGATGTCGGACCGTTGGCTGGGTTTCCTCCATCGGCCTTGTCCAATGGCTCAGTCATATCGACTCCATTTGGACAACATCAGGCTCCACGGCCTCAGAATCCCGGTTTCCCTCCCCTTTCATCCAGTTTCGATCGACACCCGTCTTTCTCCTCTGCTGCGTCAGGTGTCAATGACTCGTTTTCTTATACTCCTCCGCCTCAGGGATCTCAGGGCATGTCGCTGTCTGGGTTGAGTCCCACTAAAAACTCACCCCGGCCGATGACTTCTGGAAGCGTGGGTAGTGCATCTGTGCTGCCCCCAATCCAGAAATTAGAACCTAGCCCTAAGCTCATGGGGAGGAGCTCGCCAGACGCTCCCATTCCCCCGCCAGTCAAGGTGATGACACCGGAGCAGGAGGAACGAAGACAGAGGGAGAATGAGATGATGGCGCGCGAGGCAGCCAACGGCCAGCCTTCGTCACTACCTCATTTGACGCCTTGGAACCTGCCTCCAGCCCAGCAACAATCTCAGTCTGCTGGACAGCACGGCATCAATGGTCATTGAGACGTCATCTCTGATGAATACTCTCTCTGATCTTGCCAATCTAAGCCGTCTAGTCATGCACCTGCATCTATTCAGACATGTTTAGATCATGCTCTTAATCATGTGTTTAACACTCGCGAGTTTTTTGCTTTTTGCTTTACACGATACAACTACACGATACAACCACATCAGGCGGCAGTTTACGAATCAGGTTCGATGCATTGTCATGTTGAGCGCGCTTTCAAGTCCTAACCTATCAACTCTTAATTATGGATAATGCATGGAGACGAATTACATTATCTTGGACGGGCGGAATGGACTTAATCAATAGCAGTTGGGCTAGACTGCTGCTCTTGGGGAGAGATGCCTTTGTCACTTTGCTTTTTCAATGCTACTTTACTTGATACATGAACGCTTGGCTTGATGTGCCCTGGATTTCTGTATTTTATAGGAGTTGTCCTTTTTTTTTTCAAAAGCTTGGCGTTGAATTGGCTGCATTGGTTTCTGGGGTGTTTATTAGAGTAGAATTCTTTTTCCATACAGGGCAAACGAGGTGTATCTATTTGGTTTATTTATCAAGTGGTGGTCCATACAGAATCATAATAGAAGGAAGAGAGAAACATATGAGAGAATCTAAAACTGGTCAATACTGAATAAGTATGTACTGAACATACAACAAACGTACTGTGCGTACGAACTACCTTATTTACAATTATTGAATCTGGAATCGAAGTATCACTACAAGTCAAAACACTACACCACACCACACCACATAACCAGCGAATTAATCCAAACACTGCCTTTCCACATGGAGAATGAAATCAAGCAGCAGATGCAGTAGTAACAGCAGCAGCAGCAGCAGCAGCAGCAGCAGCAGGAGGAGGCTTCTTTAGCCAATCTCGACTAACTACATATGTGAGGAGGTCCGACCAACCCTCATAGACTTTCGTTCTCTCGTCAACATTCCATTATCTAAACATACAGGAGTAATACAATACATATAAAAGTGATAATAATAAACAGGGGCTAAATATGATTCGTTTGCCAGTCGCCTTTTTAAATTTTTCCATCCTTTCCCACTCCCGCTTTTTTTTTTGGCCGTTTGCTCGTCTGTCTCCTAACTACGTGTACCAAACAAGGCAACTCGTTCGTCCGTTCGTTTGTCCTGCGGTTCTTCTTCATCCCAGTGGGACACCCCGCATACTCCGTATGATGATCATCCGCCGACAGTTGGGGATCGACAATTGACACAATTTAATTGATTGATAGTGGACCAGCCAGGACCCTACATGGTCATGGTCGTGCACCCTACCTTACTAACGGTCCTTAACCCACCGTATCGCACAGAAATAGTACCCCTACCTACGCGTAGCTAGCTAGCTAGGTAGATTATGTACGGAGTACGGAGTAACTCAGGGTGATGCTAGAAATGCCATGGCAGGCTCAAAACTGTGGCATTTCCATCGTCAAACCTTCAAAAACCTCGCGCCGGATCATCTGTAAAGAGATTTCGCACGAAATGCGGTATTTTTGTTAAAGATGTTGTATCTACATCTGACCGAATCGAAATCTTCGATGATGAGCACCAGATCGGAAATCAATTCAATGCTGACGATATAAAAAAGACTCTTAATACATCTAAATAATTTGGCATCATTCCCTTATCAATTACCAGCTCGGAGGTCATTAACGTCAGCTCCTCGCCAATTGCACATGACAATAATCTACTAAAAAGGCCTTAAGATTATTATTTCACGAACTTCCTAACCAAATGCAGACCATTTGCTGAGATCACTTTACCATGATTCGAAATCATATGCAGAAAATGGAGACCCAAGGGAAATTGCTACCAGGCAAGGCAACGAAGGAGATACCTACTCCCACAGAATCGCCCATCACATAAGAACGATGCAATTTTTTTTCGCTGGTGAAGTTCTTGAATGAGAGATTTCCTAAAAATGGCGGCTCATTTCGAACAGCACCGGGTGAAAAGGAAAAAAAAATCCCTGATTCTACGGAAGACATCCAAGCTTATTTTTTAAATAAAACTTTGCCAAAAAGCCAGAGTACATCAATCACCCATACAGTGCCTGAATGGCTTGGAATTCTTGACAGAGATATATCCGCAGGTAGCAACTCTTGGGAAGAATCATCAGGTGTATTGTCAGTGTGTCAAGGAACGTCATAATAATGGTTGGAAGCCGCATTTGCACAAGATGGTAGGGGAAACCAAGTTTCACCTTGGACCGATGGAATGATCAGATAATAATGAGAGAGAAAAGCAAGTCATGTCGGTCCGCTGAGTAGGATTGATACCAGTTCTGGATGGAAGATCTGGTGTGTCGCTCGAGCTCTCCATGTACTGAAGAAGGTTTTGTACGAGAGAACTGTGCTATAGTGAGAATATTGTCAGTCAATCATAAGCCAAGAGAGTATGCAGACTCTTAAAAGACTTATGATGAGAAAAAAATAAAATTGCCAAACACGAAGAAATTTTTTGGATGCAAAAAATGAACATAATGGTGCTGCCCGGAATCGAACCGGGGCTAACACGGCCACAACGTGGTGTCCTACCACTAGACCACAGCACCTGCTTTGCGCAGTTATGAGTTTCTTTAGCTGCCTAAACTAAGAGGACATAATCATAGACGAGGGATAACTGGGATACTACTCCGTAAGGGAGTACGGGCAATCTGCAACTATTCCTTGGAGGATAAGGCGGTATATCTTGGCAGAATATCTGGCTCGGCAGATGCATCGAAAATGGAAGCCACATTCAGTCTGCTACGGCAGTTGTGTTGAAGCTACTGTGGAAGCTAACACGGCTTCATGACAGACAATTGAAGTAGGCCTGATAGAGATGGTTGAGCAACTCACTCTAATGATGATGATGATGATGATGATGATGATTACCGATTTGGTTCAACGGCGAAGACAGCAGAGATAACAGCCAGCTCAGCAGATAGAGACAGAGTAACTTGCCGATGACAGCATTCGACAATAATATTACAACCAACTCGGGGCAAAGAGGACAACAGACAATTTGAACAATTTGAATAATGATTAGATGCAGATCAAAAAGAGCTGACTGACGACTCCTTGATCATTCGGATGATCAGACTACGGGGTTCTGGAAGAGATTTGCAGACGATTCAGATTCATGTTCCTTATTAAGCTTCTCATGTAGCTTCTCTGGTATCATTTCCGGGTGGAGATGAGATTCGACAGAAGGAACTGGGTGCATAAAGATTCAGAGATCTTCTCATTGTCATTGTGACTCTGATCGCACTTATCTAACGCCTTGGCCATTTAAGAAATGTAGTTTTATATGCCTTGCAGTGATCATACAGGATGCAGATCACAGTTTGTGAACCTTCAAACAAGTGAACAGAAGAGATGACATCGTAGTTCTCCAGATAAGACTATGCTTCTGCGGCAGTGTTCTTATTGATGTTAATGTCATGACAGATGGCCTAACAGACAGTTGCAAGGATAATACCGAGGGCCTTCTCATTGGCCTCTTCCCACGTTTCAAGCCTCTTTTCCTATCTCTCATGGGCCTTGACATCGTGCCATTGCGCCGGTGGTGGTTGTTTCTGGCTCTACAAGCTTCTTCAGATTACCACTGGCAACATGTCAAACGCCGTTGACAAGGAGCTGCGATTTCACTGACTCGTTCCAGATCTGGTAGTTGTGAGCACCTTTATGGAGCGGCACCTTGTTGGAATACACAGTAGGCATCGCTGCGGAGGAAATGACGATAATCACGTGGAAATGGTGACGATTTAAGTGGCAAAACGATAAAATGGTAAGAAATGGGGCTTGATGCTAATACTGACTCGATATGGTGATAAAGACAATGAAGAACGATGGAGAGAGGGGTCTGTGGCCTGTGGTAGGTTCACAACAACGGATAGGGGCCGCCTCACAGAGACTCCGGGCTCATGACCTGTTGACATACGGACATGGGGGAACGAGATATGGTGAGATATGATGATATTGAAGCTAGTCGTACTACATGGTTAACATACGAGACAGGTAGTTGAAGGATGAAGAAAATGAGCACTCAGGCCTATGGATCGACAGTATGCACTAGAATATATATATTGTATTCAATACACGGATTAAATTAATTATATTTGCCTGACTGCAGCGATACTCACCTAGATCATCACTAACTATGCATCTTCTTCACAAAGACAATCTTAATATGATATAACAACTTTTCCATGATGGCTGTAAGTTGTATTTGTCTTGAAAAGAAGGTCAAGTCATATGCCAGAGGAGCCCTCCAGTATGAGTCCTTCCCGGCGGCGGCCAATCACAACTTCCGGTGCTGTGGTCTAGTAAGTTACCCATGAAATTCTTTCCATTCCCGACGCACAGCTGACCCCCTCACTGGTGGTAGGACACCACGTTGTGGCCGTGTTAGCCCCGGTTCGATTCCGGGCAGCACCAGCAGTGTGCTTTCTTTTTTTGATTTTTTATTTGTGTTTTTTTTTGGATCTCCTTTTCGTCACATAGCTTAAACAATGATCATTTTTACGCAGGTATCCCACCGGGAAAATGTGGGTGGGGACCCATTGAAAGAGGTCTTTACAATGTGCAAAAAAAAAAACAACAAAACAACAAAAAAATTGTAGACGGTGCAGAAGTCCAATAGCAAAAATGTCTCATCGATTTCTGTGTTGGCCACAGCAGGATATAACACAGGAATTAAGCAGCAACTTGGGAGTGTATATGAACCACGCACAGTGGTGCCAAGCAACCTGATTACCGGTGTAGAAATGCTATCCCGTTTCAGGAAATTAAGCGTCACCGGGCCCTGTACGGAGTACTCCGTTCTCCGTAGTCGACTGTCTACCTAGGATCCCTGGGCGGTGCATATCTGGCCATGGGTTGAACGCTAACTAATGCAAGGTAGATCTTCCAGACCCTAGAGCGACTAGGAAGGACCATTAGCCTAGCTCCGTAGAGATCTGGACGGAATCCGATGGATAGGTCTACTACAGGGTCGCCCGAGGCAAACCCGAGACTAAACGTTTAGCTAGTTCATAGTTTGCCTAGTTAGGTCTACCTACTGAACAAAAAATCTACAAGCACTCGGTTCTAGTAGGTGAGCAGTGGGGTGATCTCTGCGCGAGGTGGTTAGTGCTGTATCAGCTCATCTTTCCGTGGACACAACTCGATTCTTGCGCCAGGAGTATGGTAACTTCTACCACGTCCATCTGGTCACGTCAACTCAAGATGAGATAGGGCCAGCCAGGCAGTGGTGGGAGCGCGTCTGAACACCATGGCCAGATCTACTGCATCAGAACAACACATTCCATGAAGGTTTGCCTTTTCGAGGGCTCTGCTTTTGCTTTTATTTAAACGTTGACTTTTCCTTTGTTAGTCTTTTCTTCCTGTTTCGTTTGTTCTATACGTGATCGCTCTCGTTGATGGTAGTTGATCATCCCATCTACGTTTCTGCTTGGAAGGACCTCTCCTTGCCTAGGTTTGAAATATGAGATCTTTTGATTCTGGTTGTTATGATCTATTAGACAACATGTATCTCCCGGACAAGGCTTCTCTCTTTTTTTTTATACCAAGACGCTGATGAGCAGGATTTCGGGTTCAATGACTTGTCAACTTTAATAATAGAGTGATTTCACTGGGCAAGGGATTTAATGTCTATTCAAAGACTGATGTTTTGACCTTTCCCCTCCTCTTATTTCTCAGTTCTCTTTTCGCCTACAAGAGAACAACCAAAGCCTCTCATCTCTTGGGCCTTCACTCAATCATCCTTTAGTCTGAGAGAAAGGATTGACTGCGAGCCTCAAACATCGTGCAACAAATCGTCAGGGTTCTCGGAGCGCACATCAACCATATCACCCGGCTCAATATGCCAAAGGGCACTTATGCTCTTGCCCACCTCACAGACTGGTCTTACTATTGTCGTGGAACATCATACAAACAAGAAAGCTGAGAGTGATCTTCGACGTCATGAGTTAGCTTAGGCATATTCTCAAGGCGATGGAGATTCGTTTTGCCCAACGTTTGTTCACGAACATCAGGAACAGCCAGTAAATCTTTTGCAAAATCAATTTCCCCTCCTCACCTGGTCTTTATTTGTTTTTTTTTCTAAGTCGCTATATGTTGACAAGAAATAGGTCTTATGTTATCATTTATGGCGCCCTAACACAGACATCCAATTCTCCACGCACATTTCCTCACAATGATACTAACTTTGTTATTGCCTGCAGCAACATGTACGGTTTCGAGACAAATGAACAAATTTGCGCCTTTCGAACATTTCCATCGCTGGCTTCTTGGCAACCCTATTGGCATAGCACCCAGTATACAGCTGTTGGTTGAACGCGCTAAGGAAAATAAATAAATAAGGATGAAAAGTGAGAAGAAGCGCAAGGAGGACCCTGGAAGAAGAGCATTGGTGGCTACAAGAAGATTAAAAAAGGAAAAACGTCTGACCCTAGTCATCGGCCATCTTCGATGAAATCCTGTCGCTTTCAGGAGTTACCGTGAGAAAGTGACGTCGTCTATTACAGTCTCGACAATCTGGGAACCTTCCTGGCATTTTCCTTTTTTTGTTCCTCCTTCATCATTTCTTTCATCATAATTATTGGGTATGGCGATGAATTAAACGTTATTGTCATAATCTTAGGTAGCTTAATCGTCAATATAAAGGTATAGATGAGTTAGGTAGGGTGAGGAAATTACCTTAACTGGGTGAGCTGCTTACCCTTTTAAAGCGGCAGTGTCCAGGTTAGGCAGGAGAGAGCAGCTCGCAGATTTCTGAACGATAATATTACAGCTACTACAACAAGTACGGAGTACTGTAATGTACATACTCCGTGTATACCTACAGAGATACCTCCGGCCTCCTTGTAACTCCGTATCGGGGCTTGCCAACATTAGATGCCTAGGTAGGTATCCTTCTTCCATCTCTAATATTCTTATCGATCTGTGTTCACTTGACCTAGTTGGTTAACTAGGTACCTACCTACTTGCCTGTAACTAACTAATCGACATACATATCTGTGTTACCAACAAGTCGACGACCTATCACATCGATCCTCTTCACAGTCCACATGAACGGCACAACCGCGCAAGATGGAGACTCCGTAGCGATGTGCCACAGGTTGTCATGACAGGACAGCGCATGCCAGTACGAGGTCCACTCATGCTGTCATGCCCTCCCGTCTGTCTGTCAGTCGGCTCCCGAGGTCTTCCACATTCCTATTCTAGCTGTTTACCTACCTAAGTACATACTTACCGACCTACATAAAGTAGGGAGGTTGTGACTAGCTGCGCGCCACAGAAGCCACCATACTAACAGTCTAATAGCTTCAGTATGCCCCTTGTCGGTGTTAAATTTTTCTCGAGAGGGACAAGACAAGCTATAATTGCCGGAAGTGAAGAAGGGGAAAAAGAATAGAGAGAAGAAGAACCAGAAGAAGAAAATTCCAAGAGAACACCAACGAAATACCCCACAGACTCGAGTAACACCACAGACCTAATCTTAGAAGGTAATTCCAGATAATTCCTTGGCTGTCACCGTCGGTGGTCGGAGGGTGGCAGACCGATGAGTACTCCGTAAATTGTAAAATCGTTCGCTTCCTGGCAGATTCCAGCGGACCAATCCGCATGCAACCCCCCTCAGAAAAGCTCCAGCTAGACAGAGCCGGGGAAACCAAGGGTCTGGTGAGGTGTGGGGGGAATGGGAATGGTTGGACATGGGGTTGAGCTGGCTGTGTTTTCGTTTTACCCCGACCATATCCGTCTCTTCAGGTCAAGACTCGAGGCCGTGGCACAGCCAACCTCGGCGGGCCCAGGCGGGGATCCGGCTCTGCGTCTCCGGTGCAGTAGTTGACGCCCTGAACGACCTAGGGAAATTGGGATTTCATGCCTTGCCATGGTCATACCCAGATGTCCAGTTCAAGAATTGGACAAGTAGAGCACCTCGCTGTTGGTTAGCTGACCATAAATTTTGCATTTTGACTAATCAGAGCCCAGATGAGCCAACAGTCCTCCAAAAATAGCGTGGCATGTTGGGTTTGGACGTGACGTCTCCGTCTCCACCCCCTGGCATGGCACTTCCCTTCTGAGACATGACAGCTGCACGCCATTCCGTAGAACTTTAATGACCACCATTCTCCCCACGCGCGCGCGGGACGATCACGGATCAGCGGAGACTCAGGTCTCAGGATGGACTAATCATGGTATTTCCTGCTCAGGTACGCCAGACGACATCAAAGCATGTCACAATTTCTAACCTTATCTGAAGCTAGACTCACCAGCAAGACATTTGTACACGCGCATAAAAAGATGGCTTGCTTGCCCCTCACCCGGATCTGTTACGATCTCTCTTCGAAAGCCAGTTGGATGTCGCTGGGAAGCTTCAACTATCAGACGATCCAACCATACCAGGGGCTCGATTTCAGTCCGTCGCAGACCCGGCCCGGAGTGGGGTGCGGCACATACAAGGCGTAATTAAGTAGCTGAAAGCTCCAGGGATCGTAAGCACCCAATTGACTCGTGCCACGATGATTTGCCCACTTTAGCGCTTGATTATCCGCCAAAACCAATGTCCCGGGAAAAGCAGGTGAGAGAAAAGGGCGAAAGGGTTAGTTCAAATGCAGTAGAGAAACGATCCATCGTTTGCATCTTCCTACAGACTTTTCCAGCCCGCTGCAGGGAAGTGGGTGGCTTTCGCCCACGACAAGCAACCATTCCGAAAAGGCCAGTGCTACACACTCCCTTTTCCGGGGGTAGTGTTGCTATGACTCGTGCTGTCTGTGGGGCAGGGGTCTCCATGTCTAGTCGAGTCATCGGGACAGTCTAAAAATGCCGGACTTCGGAATCTCATCCGCTGACCGGGGGCTCTGAGGAACTCGACTAGGTCACCAGAAAAGGCGGTGCGGCTTCGCTGCGCGACACCAATTTCGATCATATTAAGATCTATTCTTGTTCCTCGTCGTCTCATTTTCAGTCCCGGGTAAGCAGAGTGGATGAAAATGATGGCTGTGGGCGCGCATGTGTGTGTATGTATCTATGATTCCAAAATAGTTGAATTTCCTAAATAGGATCGTCTGAGATGCCCATTGCTGAACGAACCAGTCTAGCAGATTTTGACAGTCTAAAGATCGACCGCTAGGCCCCTGACGAAAGGGTGCTTAAGTGATTCGGATCTCCAGACACAAAGAGGCCTTGACTCATTCTCCAGCCAGAGAATCAACCTCCTACCGCATCGCCATGCGAAATAACGGCTTTTTCCTAATTCATCCATTTTAGAGCAGAGCTCGTGACTGTGATCCGTGACCGGCTGACAAATCACCACGTTCAGTATCTTATAATAGCAGCATTCATGGGATAACCTTCGAAAATTCTTGGGTCATACGCAGCGGCACTCGAGACCCGTCCATTTAAGGACGATGTCGCAACGCCCTCTGCGTACGCAAACGGAATGGATCCATCCTCTGAACAAGCTGTATCTCCTGGGCGATCAATTCTTAGGCGTCTCCTTGCGTCTATCGTCCACTAAAATTGTCGTATCTAATATCAGCCTTCAAGCCATGTTCAGAGTTCAGCCAAAGACCGGGGAGGAAAAATTCATCCAGGCCACACGGTTCTATTCTAAGTAGCCGATTTGACGCCATGGATACCAAACTCGATTACGCCTTTTTGTATTGCCCAGTACACGCCTTAGCATCCTGTTGGGGGAAATCGAATAAGCTGTAACATGCCGATGGAGCTATACTGTCGTACATATCCCATAACCACGGATGAAATTGTGGAAAGGAGAGATGGTACTGATGGCGCCAACGAGCAAGGCCTGTGCATGGTTCCTTACATGGTGTGGTATGGCGCGGCAACCGGCAAAACACGGCGCAGGGTAAACCAGCTAGACTGCCGACCGGCCGCCATAACCCTATCTCTAGTCCGAAACCACTGTGGAATCAATTGTAGATCTTGTCGCCTCAGACTCTCGACGACCTACTAGAGATTTCTTCAGGCCGGGTGCAGGGATCGTATCTTCTTTGTACGCATCATAAAGCCAGAGTATCGACATCGTCAGAGAGATGGTAGCCACGTTGGCGGCGGCGCATGTGGCATTGCAAGGGTCTTGCTTGTAATTCGCTGCTGGGGAGTGCACCCTAAATAGAATAGTCTGAAGGTGCTGCGCAACACGGGCTGGCAAGCCTCGAGAATGGCATGGGCTTCAACTCAAAAATCAGATCCTTCGCTGCGAGTCAGTAAGAATCGCTTGGCATCGCATTTCAAGGGTTCTCCTAGTCCGGTTCGCTGACACCAGTCATCTCTGAGCTCCGAGCTGCCGTTATCCCGGACGTCTGGTATCCGCGCGTCCTGCAGAGAGCCGCGCAGTCCGCTTGAAGTTCCCAGCAGATTGTAGCCATATAGACGCTTATGTAGATGCATTTCCTGCGCAACTCGACATGAATCGGCGAAGTTGTCTCCCGACACTTACCTGACGACGTCGAGAGAGGATTGCTTTTCAGGCAAAACGGTACTGTAGACATTGGTTCGGACTGTCGGCGGCTCCGAGACGGAATTGTAAGCGGAGATGTCGCTCCACGACCGGCCGACGACTAGAGAGCATTCCATGGAAACCACAGCCCAGCGTTTGCGGTCATTAGCGCTGCTATAATCACCCACTATTGCCAATGCCGAGCAATCCCTCACCTGCTCGATGATTATCTAGGCAGGCTGTCGTTAACCCTCATTAGGTATGGGGTTTCCCCGGGGAAGCTCTATCCTTTCCCAGAACGTCTGGAGGATCTGCGAACCGCTGCAACCTCTGATCCGCACTGGCCCGTTGGTGCGCTAAGCATGGAGGTTGGCTGGATTGCCGTAGACGTATCGGCCCAGATTTTGCATTTGCAAGCAAGGTCAGCACTGGCAACGCTCTGCAAAGCCAAGGCGTCCGGACGGCAATAGGGCAAAAGCAACTTTGAAGGAACCTTGGGTGGAAGCGACCCGGGTCAGGGCTCAGTGAGTCTCTGTCTGGGAGCGAATGAGAGATAGGGCGATACCAGGCCGTAGGATGAAGCGCGCCCAGCGGGTCTCATATCATGTCCAGATCCGGCTATCAGCTTCCTGGACGACATTGTTATATCTAGAAGCCATGTGACGCGAAGGACATAGCAGCCGTCTTGAAACAGAAACCGTTGTCTCGACGCCTAAGATAGCAATTCTGCGGACAAAGAGGTCTCTATATTAAGCTGAAAGGAGGTGCCGTGAGCCTGGATCCGTATGCCAATTCACGGAATCTCCAACAAAGGCGCTCACGAAACATCGTTCCGCCAGCACTGCACTTGGTCGCTGGAGATCGGATTGCTGGCACCTCCGCTGCAAGTTCCTCTCTGCAAGCAGTTTCAGCCTCATTGCCATAGGCTGGCTTGCTTCCCGCCTCCAAAACGGGTGTCTGCAACATCCACAAGCGGTGCCGTATCCCCCTCCATCCAACCCAGGGCCAGCACCCACTGATTTCCTTTCCCCCACCCAGTTCACTCCTTGCCTCAGTACAAATACAGACCCATTGCTTCAAGGGGCCACGGGCTAGGAATCCTTTGGAACTCCCCTAGCCATCTGGCGAGGAACCTTTGCAACCATCAAGTTCAGTTGATCCACGTATCTATAGCCGGCCTGCTCGTGGTGAAAACGGTTGCCAGTTCCGGCCACCCGCAATCCTCATATGCGACTCCTCTCATCCGAACTGTTTTCTTCCAGGGCGACAGCGATAGTTGGAGAGAAAGATATTCCGACGAGTTCCATGCAGTTGCGTCAGATCCACAGCAGAAACAGCGCGAGCTGAAATATCATAGCGGCGAATTCCAGTGCAACTGGGCAACACGAGCACCGGACCCAAAACAGGTCAAGCGTCGTGATCGTAGCTTGGGACTCCTCATTCTCCCAACCTCGACCACCAGAGAGATTTTCCCAGCAATTCCATCCGCTCGCTCAGACGCGTCACTGACTCTTTTCTCAACCGCTTTCGAACCCTCCTAAAGCTCGTGTCGTCTCGAAAAAGATGATCAAAGGACATCCACCAACCCCTCCCCAATCCACGGATGGCGATATTCGCCCCGAATGTTACTTGAGGCCTCCAGGCATTCTCCAGAAGGATCACATCCATGAGACCCCATCAAACCTGCCTGTTCAGACCGAAATGAATGTCCATAACCACCACAACAGCGAAAAGTCTTTGGTAAGTTTTCTAGTTCTCCTATCCGTCATCAGCAGTGTTTAGGGACTAACGACTTCAGACCCATCTGGGGTCTTCTCTATATCACCGTCCTGAGGGCAGTTTCGGCGCGGCTCTGACTACAGAATCTTCAGTGAGACAGACAGAATCATCCAATGTCCTGGTCACAAGGCTAACAGAAGTATCAACAGGGGTTCGCAGCTACCGTGGCACATAATCTACCCGCACACATAACCGCCGAAAATGGAATCATGACACGAAGTGGTCGATCAATTCTACCACCTGGCTCGCCCGTGGGTGTTAGAAATGCCGCAGCCGACAAGGCGAGGGTCGTGAAATCTCCCAGGACCAGGCGTCGTAGCAAGCCTGCCAAAACAGACAAAGGAGCGCCCCCAAACATAACGGCCCCTCTGAGCGAACTGACCAAAGACATGACACACATTCCTATTAAAGACATGGAGGCTTGGGTTAACAGACCCATCGAAGTCCGTCGCCGAGAGGTTGCCCTGAAGAACGGAAAGATCGCCAGGCCGATGAATTCTTTCATGCTCTATCGTTCTGCATATGCTGAGAGAACGAAGGAGTGGTGCGCGCAGAACAATCATCAAGTCGTTTCCAGGGCCTCTGGTCAGAGCTGGCCTCTGGAACCTCCCGAAATCAGAGAAAAGTTCGAATTGTTGGCGATCATCGAGAGAGACAATCACCAGAAAGCGCACCCGGAGTACAAGTTTGCTCCAAATAAGAACCAGACTCCACCTCGAAAGAAGCGCTCTGTCGAAGGAGATGATAACAGCGATGTCGATGAGGCAGAATTTGACATTCGATCCACATCGCCACCGAACCCAAAGAGAGCGAGGAGTTCTGAAGTCGATAGCTGCTATGAGAGTCGCGAGTCGACTCCTTTTGACAGCCAAGGGTCGGTTCTCTCTGACAGTTTCAACCAGTCGCCCTGGAAGAACAACGGCCACAATGCAAACAGATCGATTCCAGGTTTGATGTCACCACCTGAACAGACGTTCTACTACCCACAGCACGGGGTCCAATCCGGCATGATAAGGTCGCACGTAGAAGACGCGCCATTCCCCAAACCTGGTTTCTCTGGTGGCCTTTACAACACCTCTGCAACATTGGCCGGCATTCCCGGAAATATTCACCATGACTTGCTGCGCTCATACCCTGCTGTTAACACCCCGCCTCAGATTGATGACGCTCAACTCGATCCCCAGCTACTGGCAGTTGATAACACAGTTGTGGACGTCGCTGCCCGACCTTCCAACTGCCAGTATACACTCTGGCAGTCAGAACACGAGCTCAACAGCTTTGCACCGGTACCTAGTCCTGTAGGACTGAATCCGGTCCCATTTGATATTGGATTGCCCAATTATGCGGGGGTACAGACCTTCGAGGAGGGACACAGCATCTGGAACTTCAGCAACGAAGAGGGCATTGGTGAAGCCGGAAAGGAGTTCGATCAATGGCTCAATTCCCAGACAACGGCATTTTGAAAACAACCAAACTTGGAGGAGGTCCTTTTTGGCGATGATCATGAGAATAGGTGAGATCTTGAGGATGCGTTTCGATTAATGCGGTCCGTCAAAAAGTTGTCGACATTGAATTATCCTGGGAGACCCCCGATTGGAAGAGGATGCGGCAGTAACCTTTTTGTCTCTTTGGTGCATCCATCCCTTTGCTTCCTGGTTGCTGGCTGTTGCTATTTTTGCACTTTGGGCGGGAGATTTGCTTTCATTGTGTCAGTTCTCGGAAGATCAGCATTTCCAAACGGTTTGAAGAATTCATGTCATGTATAGTGCTAAGTATTTCTACCAAGATAAGAAAGGATCATATCTAGTAATAGAGCAGGGGTGCATAAGAAGCTGTGTTTTTGAATAAGTGATCGTCTTACGGGACAAAACTGGGTTCTCAAGACGTCAAATCAGAAACATAGGAATCAAGTAGTACATGCAATTTCTGAAAAGAATAAACGCGCGGACAGGAGAATTTAGTTGAGACTAGAGATCGTCGAGTGCTCTTTTCAGTCTGCAGAGCAAGGACCATAAATAACGAGGATTGAGGAATGGTCACCTGCGCAAATCCCGACAGATCGCGGGCAAGCAGCAATTCGGAGCCAATAATCCTGCTCAGTTGGCAAGCGCGTCGGATCGCGTCCGATTTCTCGCCAAGAACGGAAGGGGCTTTCCACAACCATCACCAACAGGTGAGGAGCTGTATTTTCTACGACGATCTGGCGTTGAAGCTTTCTTTGACGAGTGCTGTTTCGGAAGATGCATGGTGCTTGATGTGAAAAATATCTCCATCTCGAAATGTATGGCGAACTAGGGAACAAATTGGTATACGTCTCGACCCCGCGCCTGGCATTGATCTCCTGCTAATTCTCCTGCAAAATAGGTCCAGCATGCCAAACGTACGCAGTCTCTGGCCCATTTGCCCCCGTACCAGACCGAGATAGTACGCTCCGTGACTCGCGAAGTTCGAGACCTCGACAAAGATGTTGCGCGCCACCTCGCCCCGTTTGAAGGCAGCTTCAACCCCTCCGCGGAACCGGCGGTCGCGTGCGCCCTCCTTGTCGATCATCTCTGCATGCGTCGCAACAAAAGATGCCTGCTAGCCTACCATCGCGTTCGTGCAGAGAAGCTCGAGGAGATGTGTTGGAAGGGCATTGATGTGCTGGAGCAGCAACAACCCAGTGAGTCGGACGAGGGACCAGCAAGCTCGCAGAGCGGGGGCCACAGCTCCCTCAGTCCGGAAGAGGAGGAGTATTTCAGGCAATACAGTGACCTTCTGGCTGCCTATAAGGGCCAGTGGACCGATATCGACCTTACGGGTAGTTTAGAACCACCCAAGGACCTGTTTATCGATGTCCGGGTGCTGAAGGACGCGGGCGAGATCCAGACCGAATATGGGTATGTCCTCCTCGCTATGCAGAAGTCTTGGGGTCGTTGTGCTAATATATCGGTGTTCTCTGTTAAGAGCGATCAATCTTACGAAGAACAGCCAGTTCTACGTGCGACAGGGCGACGTCGAACGATTGATCGCACAGGGATTTCTTCAACGGTTAAGTTAAGGTACTCTCTTCATGTTGTTTGGAGTTTGGAGTTTCTACGTAGATACCTTGGAAAATTCGGAATCATAGGTCATGCATCTCTTTCGCGATGAACTGGCAGGTGCCTCTAGAAATACTTGTATTCTCGTCTGTCGATTTACTGCGATGGATTGCACCCTCTTAATGCCCAGGAAACCTTGAAACAAACGCGTGCGGGGTAAGAATGACGTGCTGCAAGCTACCCAACAGTAAGCAATAATAACAGTAATTGTTTTCAATAACAATAGTACGAAGCCATGTCCAGTGCTTGGCGCTCCTTTTCTATAACTCGAATATTTCGCTGTTGCAGAGAGAGACCATAAGCACAATGATCCACTGGCCGGATCAGGGCCGCAGTGCAGCCCCGCTCGCGAGATAAGAGCAGGGAAGCCGAAATCTCCGATGACAGTGCCTATTTATATAACCAGTCCCCATTGTCCGTTATCAGTCTGGCTGTTTGGCTTGTTGGACAATGATGTCTACTGAATTGATTGTAAATAATTATTAATAGACTTATTGAGATGTGGTGGATGTGTTCATTGAATGCAGGATGGGACACAGACTGGAAATCTGGAATCAGAGAACTGCAGACAGATCTGATTGGCCAGCCGGTTTTCTGTAGCTGCAAGTCTAGAAGGCCGGATGCAGGAATTTCTGCAGCACTCGAAAAGCATCTCTCATTGCCACCGACACCCCAATCTTGTCTATCTTCTAAGCGGGCATGACGAATTTGAATTGCAGGTGTTCTCCTTGGAGGATTGGACCACGGACTGCGCCGGCCCCGATCCGGTGGGGAGACGGTCTCCTACCTCACGAGATAACGTTTTGCGGATAAAGTTTGAGCAAGCTCCAACTACGAGCAGATGTGCTTTCCGGTCTTCTCGCCTGCTCGCGCGCATTTTTCTCTGTTTCCCTCAGTAATGAACTAATGGCTCCTTTGCTGATACGATAATAATGTCTATCGCTCCCAGTTTCGCCGCAATCGCCTCATCGTTAGCAGCAGACCTTCAACCGAGCTTGTCTGCGGGGATACAGAGACTTGGTCACCATATAATCCTGTGTCGATATGAGCGGCCTTAGACCACACGATCCAAGCGATTCGCGCTTGGCGACACCATCACGACCTGACAACATCGTATGCCGAGATGACAATGGCCAGAACTCTTCAGCGGCGATGCCTACCGGCGGAGACCCTCCAAGCAATGCCCTTCCCTCGAACCTGCCGAGGTCAGAATCTTCTCCCTACTACGGGAACAGTGTGAAGACACCGTCTCGCTCTTTTTATCATCGATCTTTCCATGGGTCTTTTGGTACGGAGTCGTCATCCTTGGCGTGTTAATATTTTTTTCTTGCAATTCTAACAGGTCGTGTGACGGATAGACCCAGCGCAATATTCCTCTCAAGGCGTTCGAGAACAGACTGCCGAGCTCGCCTCCCTGGCCGTATCAGATGCCGAAACGGCCTTGACAGGCACGTCTCTCCCAGCACGGGCAAATAACGGGCCCCCGGGACTGGAGGATATCTTTCAATCGAACCAGCTATACAAGGAAACTTCGACGGACAGTTCTCGGCCAGATGTGAAATCGGAGGCCTCACAATCTGAAATTCCTGCAGGCGGCCTGCCTTCCCGGCTCTCCAGCTCAGCGTTGACGGAGATGATGCGCAATTCGCCTCCCAATGGCGACGACTCGCGTGAAAACGGCGCATCAGCGGATGCTGGTTCTGGTGTCCCAGCTTTGGCAATTGGTAGAGAATCGGAGAGTCAGGACAATGAGCAGACATCCTTAATTCGTGAACGGTCGCGGTCAAAGGATCGTTACAGCTACGGAACACTTGGGGACATTGAGAGTCAAAGGACCCATGATCAGAGGGCTACACGGAACGTCTTTTCAGTTGCATGTTGCAAGCTACAGAAAGCCCGCAATGTGTTACTCAACCCAAAGTCCTGGGACAGACGTGCGATATGGCGGCAAGGTGTGGTGCGTCCTGTTAGTCTACTTCCTGCCGTTTTCCTAGGCCTTCTCCTCAACGTCCTGGATGCTTTATCCTATGGCATGATTCTCTTCCCTTTGGGCGAACCTATGTTCCTCCCATCTGGGCTCCGACGGTATATCGAT